ATTTCCAAGTTGCAAAATTTAATGGAAATTCTGAATCTGTAAGATGTTAGTAACAGAAGTATTTTCGATTGTGACCCTTGCTGTCACGTTTGTATCTATGACTCTTGGAATATTATGGGTCAATGTACATGATGTAGAGGTGGTGGAAATTGAAACAGGGGTGGAGGCAGGTCAAAATTGAAGTTGGTGACATGTTAAATCATCTTGGCTCAAACCATTTCTTTTTGTGTTTAATTCAGAAAAATTTTGAAATTTCAAACACTTACTATTCAATTTATTCAAGAAAATTACCTTTTGTCATGAATTTATTTTTGTTTTGTTAAAATTCCAAGTTTCTGAAATCTATTTGATATGAAAATTGCAGTATTTGCAGTATTTCATATCTAAGAAATGCCATTTAGATGAGCTAGCATGTTACCAACTTGAGTTTTGTAGATTTTAAATTTAAGATGAATATGACAAAAACAGGTGACTGTGAAATGACACACCTTCAAGATATAAGCACATACCATAGAGTATGTATAAATCATAAAATTACTTTGTCATCATGCTATAAAGTCTTTAGTCTAAAGTCTTATTTGACACTTGTAAACACACCAGTCACATCATTGTGATTTCTTCCAAGGTTAGAGCACTTCTGTTGAACTTTAAGGGCAAAATATTTAGAGCTTGGAAATTTTAACCATCAATTGGATATTTTTGGAAAAATTCTTATGATTAAATGGACCACTCTAGATGAGCTTATATTTTCTATCTCTAATTTTGTCTTGATGTTTTTAAGGGAAATGTAACGTTAAATTCTCCAGTGGCATTATACTCTTATTGCCTTAACCTACAGCTGTAATATAGGCTTAAGTTTATGTTGAGTTTTATCTGCTTTGTTAAATTAATCTACTTTAATAGTCCCAACTTTGGAAAGGTCAATTACAATATAAGCTATTTATTTTCTGGATATTGAACTTCACATGTCTGGCACTGTGACCATTATATATTCATTTTGTTCAGGCGTTCTTACATGAACCCTCATAAAATTAGTTTATATAAATAATTCCCAGTGTAAATTCGAGTGGCATTGAAAGTAATGCCTTTTATTCAAATGGAAATGAGCAATTTCTGTTGAACCCAGATTAATATTATAAAATCTCTTAGTACACAGTGGAAAATCTGTTTCAAAACAGAATTTGGACCAGTTTTTTACCAGTCATGATGATGGGCATTTCTTATAACCGAACACTGCATCACAAACTGACAGATGAAATATGTAAATAAGATGCACACCTTTTCAATTGACCAATGACAGTCCTGTATTGTGAGGGTTGGGCAGTATTAAGAAATCTTTTGTTGCATTAGCATTGCAGATTGCGCTGACAATAATAATACCTGGGAATGATATTTCACACACCTCTTTTATAAGCCAATCAAAATGCGAGTAAATCAGCTGGTGCTTTACATGATGACTCGTCATTTTTATGATGATTTATACGTATTGGATTTCTAGTGCACTGCATAATAGAAAATCATTTATCAGTAAAAATCAATCTGCTAATGTTACTATTATCATTGAACTTATCAGCTGTATGTAATGTACATAACAGCAGCTCTTATGTTCATGGCAAGGCTCTTTTATCTATTAGAGTTTTATATTGAAGCCTTGTATATACATGCATTCACGTTGGTGAACATGCTTACTTATACAACATCAATATATACAATCCGGAGAACAGGGCTGGGAAATTATGGCATACAAATTGATTGGCTCATATAAATCTGTGAATGGGAGTTTCCTCATGTTGAGCCATTTCTTTGTCAGCTTGTATTTGTTTGTATGTTGCTATGGTAATAGTCTTGCATGATGCCCTTGTTATTTCACTCTAAGCACCTCACCTTCATGAAGAGGTGAAATAGATATGAAGGGGGATTCAAAGATTTGATGCAAGACTACAGTGTTTAATTATACATGTAAAAATGTGTCATTAGGCTATATACAGTGAAACCTGTAAAGTGGAACACTTCTTAAAGTGGAACACCTCTAAAAATGAAACGCTTTTGAGTGTCCCAAGGCCAAATGACTTCATGTTAAATGAACCTCTATAAGTGGAACACCTAAGTAGAACACTTTTAGAGGGTACCAAAGGTGTACCACTAAGACAGGTTTTACTGTACATATATCCCAATAAGTGTAGTAAGATGTAGTATGATGTAGCACCACTGAATAATCACATGTGGTTTTCATAGCAAGTCTACTTAGCAGCCCTACTTCATGTTGTTCATGTATGAGGTCACTGTCTTGATGTATAAAACCTGATGATATCAGATGATATTAAATTTCAGACCCTTCTCTAAAATGTTGAATTGAACATTTATGGGTTTGTCAGAATCATGTACAATGCCAACTATGTTGGTTTATATCATGACATGTTTCTGATTCATGTATAATTTGTTGAAATTTGCTACTCTATGGAGTTTCTATTTTAATGTTTGTGCTTAAATGAAATGTCGACCTTGTCCATTAGAGAAGTTTTCATCCCTGTCAGTGGCTGTACATAATGTTGATTTATATTATGATATTAGCTTCAGGACAGACAGAATGCCACTTAACTTTCTAGTTTGAAGGTGAAGTATTTTAAGGTAGTGTGTTGTTTAAAATGAGTCATTTAAGGTGACTCAGAATTTAGATGACACTATCAATTGCAAGTGATGTCATTTAATTACTTCATCCAGGTATTTTATTTGTAAAACAAAAACAGGTTTTAAAGTTGAAAACACTTGAATTTGTTTTCACTAGTTCAAGGTCAAAATGTTATTACTGGAATGGTTGTTAACATTACATTAACTCAAGTATGCGTCATAGATAATGACTTGTTGACAGTGATATGTAGATATAGGTTTAATTATCAAAGGTTGAAAGTCTGCAGGCACCAACTTTCAAACGTTTACAATTGTACTCTGAAGTCATATTTCATTTTTATTAGCTCACATGTTTTTCTTAAGTCATCGATTTGGACTTTCTCTTTGTAATTGAAATCCTTTTCTTGCAATGTCATACCAGGTGTTGGTTTTATCGTATTGAATTTTAAATGTTTGGAAATTAATTTTATTGTATATCTTTTATTGACTCTTTGATATCATCTCAATGACATATTCAACAGAAAAGAATTTCATGGTCGTGTGGGTTAAAACTGACTCGGTCAATGTCCAAAGTTTAAAGAACTAACAGATGAATGTGACATTGAAGATTTTAAGACTTGAACTTTAGAATTTCATCAATTAGTTCTTATCATATTTCTTTATCATGTTTTTGTTAAATTATAAGTGCAAAAACCAACCCTAGCTGCACTAAGGCAGTTGGCACTTAACAGTGTATTCACCATTTTATCAGTAATAAAAAGGTGATGGGAAAGGTAGTGCCATAGCTTTCAAGCTCTTAAACCATTTTCTTGAAGTCATGAAATAAATAGGTGAAGTAGAAACAAGGCTACTGAGCAGAAAAGTTTTTATATTCACCATGTGTCATGTTCAGATGTTCAGGACCTTGTGCTGTACATATTAATTGTTTATGTTGCTTTAAAATGAAGTTGTACTGTGTCCTTATGTGACCTTATAGGCTTTACAGCCAAACTGGCCTTGATATCCAATGGACTTGTTTTACATAGTTCTGCTTGATAAACTGGTGGTGGTGTAAAAACTGAACTTATATGTTATATTCCGTAATATGAATGAGAAATTGTGCAGTAAAGAATGAATAAATAAATAAATGAACATTATGCATAACCAAGAACTAGTGCTTGTTGTGTTGAAGTTTGTGTAATTGTTTCTAGTCTAAGATGATGAGAATTAATATTTACCAGATATTTACCAATTTATCAGTTAATGCCTTGGTCACATTTGCTCCGATTTTCACAACGGCGCCCTGCCGATCGAGTATTTTGTTCAAAATTGAATACAATATTGGACTAAACACTCAATCGGCTGGGTGCCAGCCGATGGATCGAAACAAATGTGACCCAGGCATAAGGGAAGCTAAGACTAAGTTAACTTTCAAAAAAGTTCATGTGTTTGCCTGTTTACATAAGATATCTGAAATTAGTTTTGAAAGTGGACACCCTGTTGAAGGAACATACAATCTTCAATAGATACGACTGTGTCTTAAAAATAGATCTAGTTAAATGTATTGTGGCTCAAAAATGAGGAAAAATAAAAACAAACATCTTTGCTAAGTAGCCTGAACAAAGTTCATATCTCCATGAACACTCATCCTCCGATCACAGGGCTTCAAAATTCAGAATGTCTTCTTTCTTTTTACCCCCTGCTATAACCAAGTTGGAAGCGCCCGATTAAACCAAATCACGTGATCTAAGTATGCGCCGATGATGTATACATGATTGCTGTCGCAGTGTTGTGGCAGCGAATCAAATTGCGAGTTCTTAATCGGGGAAATGCTAACTGCTTATAGCAGGGGGAAAAAGGAGGTACGGATTCTGGACACCTGCTTTGGAGGATGATGAACACTATACAGCTTTTAATAGTGGCAGACATTCTTAGGCTGAATTCCAGAGTAAAGAGAAAAAGTGCTCCATATTGAATCTGAGGAATTTGCAACCTTATAGCCAATTTGCCAATTTAAATCATTTACTTTGGATCTTGGGTTTCCTGTATTCAAGAAAACAGAATCTTCAAAAAACAAAACAAATATCTAAACATGAACATTTATTTCACTGAAAACGTCAGATAAACTACACTATCCTACTATATACATGTTACAATAAATAGTTTGAGATAAATAATCATACTAAAATTACAAAAATACATTTCTGATTACATTCAATTCCTGAAATCATAATAAGATAACCAAAATATATGATTCATCTGTTGGTTAAATATTCAAAATTAACAACTCAAAATGATTAGACACACACTGACACATGGAACCTTTACATGCATTTTCCGCACGGTACAGAACCACATGGTACAAACTACGAACATTAATTTAAATTTTTGACCTACCATATGAAGAAAAGGGTGCAGTATGAGACTCGTAATCCTTGATTTTCAAACATCTGGTAGATCGAAGATTCAAATTAACGGTCGAAGTTAGTATGGCGTGTGTACAGGTTTAGTTTTGTTGTTGCAATCTAAAGCTCAATCTTAAAGCTCATTTGACATTAGTTAATTGTTAATACAAAACCCCCTTAGGCCTTTAATTCCCAAAGTTAGCAATAATTGCAGGTATATATGGAGTAGTACATTTGATATAGAAATATAGAAAATCATGGAATTCACAAATTATCAAATATGTAATAAATGATTTTTACATTAAACTGTAATTACATATAAAGGTAGTATTAAATATTTTGTGTAAGTATTATGCAAATTACTGGCCATTCATTAGATTAGGAATATAGTGCATTACAAAGTATAGTACAGGCATGTGACAGATTTGGCAAAAAGAGGCAAAAACAAAATTACAAGTTTACAATGAAGTAGAGAATCTGTATATCATATTTAATCATTTGTCTAATACATGTAATCAACCACTGCCAGGCAGTATATTGGTTGTAAGTTCTCATATAATAATTATATACATTTGTTACATGTACAATAAAATACATGAATGCTAAAATAATTGAATTGAACTTGTTTTGATTTGACTCCCTTGCAGAATTACCCTTTGCAGACTTCATATCTCTAAAAGAGACCTTCATCAATTGTGCACACTTAAAATTATCGAACCCATAAGAAATAAGTCTGATCTAGCATTACTAATTATAATATTAGAAGTCTCAATATGCTGTACAAAATCTGGCTTCCCGCCTGGTCTGATTGGTTTTACGCATGACGTGACAAAAATATTAAATTTCTCATTCATTTGATTGTTGTGATATGTTCTGCAAAGCAGAACCTTCAGCATTGTTAACCACTGTCTGAGGTATATCTGCTTCTTAAGCCATCACAACAAATCAGGCTGATATGTGATTAACATAACAGGATTTATTAAAAAAGGATTAAACTTGAATAAGACTTAATAAGATTATTCTATATAAATGAGGAATGGAATTCAATTTGTTGTAAATCAACAATTATAAACATAAATATAAAGATAAAATTGCAGATATAATTCATTCATAATTCTCAATTAAAATGGATGAAATTTCAGATATAAGTCATTTTCTCAATTAAAATGGATATATCTTTATATACTGTTGTTACGGTATTTCATTTGTAACATTTTGTCTTCCAAATTATGGGAACATGTTATAAATAAATGAGTTACTACACAATGTATCTGAATATTGACAAATTCAGAAAATCTCATTTGAATCTATTCAAATACATGCTATGAACTCATTTCTGTTCTGTGCGACTTTTAACAAATAAGCATTAAAATACCAAAATATTGAGAAGATATTGAAAGGATCATTTTCAGGTCCAAAATGGAAAGTTTTTTGAATAATTTGATGGTTTGGTAGGGGACGATCCATAATCCCTTTGCCATTAGGGTTATCATTTTTATACCTATTTTTCGGATTATTACCCAGAGTGTAGTTTTCAATATTTGTGCTCACACATTTGTGTATACCATGTACAACCAGCATAACTCATATATTTAATATTGATTAACAGAATCAATAATGTACAAACTATGAAACTTCTTGAAGTGTATCTAAGTGCCTTGTAGTGCACTTTAAACATATAATACAATATTTACATATCAATTAAAGATATTTCTCAAATTAGGCAGAGGGCCATGTTTTGATATGGAGACATTCTCAGAAAGAGATAGACGTAATTGTCAGTACTAAGTTGATCAATGCCCTTATGACTGAATTGTAGCATACTTTAATTTGAAAATAAATCTGTGGACTTTAAATGCTATAGACTAGTACATTTAAGTCAGTCATATTAAATAATGTATAAAATATTAAATGTTGGTATATACACATTTCTGTCTAACGACTGCCTTGGATTTCATCTCTTTTATCCACTTCAGTGGAGTGTTCATTATAGTCAGTTTATTATCCTATTTATATATTTAGAACAGTTCAGATGTTTGCATCATTTCCATGGAAGTAGAAAATGCTCAGTCAGGATGGCTACAGCAGTTCTGGTAAAAAATGAGGAAGTATTGAGTTGTGAAAATGAGCTGAATAACAAGTGGCAGAATAGATCATGGTGAACTAAGGTTGATTAAAGTTCATACTGCCATTTTGTTTTAGTTTTAAATCCAGGGCTCTGGATTATTGAAACGTCACTCTCATAATACTTTTAAAAGTTATCGGTATTCCATTGAAAAATAAAATCTGATGTGCTTCACAAATAAATGGTTTCACACTTGGTCTATCTGGGCTTTATTGAGTTTGAAATAGAATCCTTGAAGAGCTAGAAGATCGTTATGTTTCCCTTGTTCCACTACTTTGCCATTGTGAATAACGCAAATGATATCAGCGTTCTGTATGGTTGTGAGCCTATGGGCTATAACAATGCTAGTACGTCCCTCCTGGGCTTTGTCTAAAGCTTCTTGAACAGTCTGGAATATTAAAAAAAAGTTGACTAAAGGTGGCACAACTTGAGACTAAATAATTAGCACTCTATGGAAATGGCATAGGGTTTAATAGCTACATGTACATGTATGTGGGGAACATTTGAATACAATGTGGTTTTCTTCATTTTCTTATTAAGAATGTCATATTACATTTTCTTCTATTTTAAGCTTTCCTTTATTCCTCATCAATATTTACAAACCAACAAATCAAAAAATGCTGCCTAAGTATCATTTTATCAAGCGCCACCTGTGTCCTGGATGAAAAAAGCAAACCGGCGAAATGTAATCAAATCACAAACAAGCAATACCACTGAAATGGTGTGTAATTGTATATATGGGTTAAATGTTGAAAGATAGTGGACATTTGCCAGAAGCCCTACTTCTGTTTTCTTGTTACTCTTTTTGAAAGCTCATTAAACCTACTAAAAGCTCATGTGCCATCTATATTTGAATGAATAAATGAAACTTCAAGACACTGGTAAGATGAAATCTCTGTTCTGACCCTCTAGTTCATGCACTCCCTTTTCACCAGAACTAGGGAAACAATACCCATTTCCTGGCTATTGGTGACAAAATCATCTATATGTTGAATTGTGTTGAGAGTTTTCTTGATATCCAGGGTGAATAATAAATATTTGGCTAAAAGTGTTACAGTACTTCAAATGAATACAGCATGATTTCTTAAACTGACCTTTTGACTCTCAGTATCTAAGGCAGAGGTGGCCTCGTCCAGTAACAAGACTTTAGGGTTGCGCAGTAGAGCCCTGGCAATTGCGACTCTCTGTTTCTGGCCTCCAGACAGCTGGGTACCTTTCTGGCCTACATTTGTATCATAACCCTAAATACAATGAAAAAAATTTGTTAACTAGACTGTAGTATATCATTACGATTCATTATATACCCATTTAAACCCCTGCTAAATACAGATAATTTCACAGTTTTGATAACGATATTCTCAAATGTAGCTGGTCTTTGATGGTAGTTTGAATGTAAAATGGAATGAAAGTTAGCTAGCATAGTCAAAATGTATTGTCATGATTTCCTGACAAAACTGTCTGATTGGTTAGACAAGATCAAAGAATTATTCTTAAAACAAAGCGTGAAGATGTTGTTACACTCTTTAAAAGGGTTCACACCTGAGGCAGAGATTGTATAAAGTTGTGAATGTTGGCGCTCCTGGCAGCCTCTATGATCTCTTGCATTGAGACCTCTCTTTGGTTGTCGCCATAAGCGATGTTCTCAGCAATCGTACAGTCAAACAGTATAGGCTCCTGGGATACAATTCCGATCTGGGAACGCAACCAGCTGATGTTTAAGCTGCTAAGCTCTGAACCATCGGCAGTCTAGAATGGACGATTTAATAAATTAATATCTTATGACTTTATCATTGCGAGATTAGTATGGTTTTGAAAGCTTATAATTTCCATGTTTGGAAAATACAGAATATCTTTAAACATTTCCACAAAGATGATCGTACAAGACTATAATATGACCAATCCAACCTTCTGTATTCTGGTATTTCTTACAAATTGTTCCTAAATATGATAATTTGTGACAGATATAACAATAACATGTCAACAGTTAATGGTAATGACACAATAAAGCCAAAATATTGTATGTAACTGAATGAGTAGACCTACCACAGAGCCAGCCTTTGGATCATAAAAGCGCTCTATGAGTTGTACAGTTGTACTCTTGCCGCATCCAGAGCTCCCACACAGCGCCAAAGTTTGACCAGACTGGACGGACACATCAAGCCCCCTCAACACTGGGATGTTAGGACGAGTTGGGTAGTTGAACTCTACATCTTTGAACTCAATAGACCCAGAGAAGTCAGTCTGGAAAACATAATGGTAAAGGGTTAGTCACATGGATTTAAGAACAAACTGGTAAAATTGAGTTTACAGAACAGCCACTGTGTTATTTTCCGGCAAGTGGATCGTGTTGCAACTAAATGTGATGATGCGATGCAACTCTATATTCTTGAATTCCATAATAAAATGAAGACATGGAGCCAAAAGATTCATCGTTCAGTTGCTAAAAATATTCTAAAAAACATAGAACGATGCAAAATGTGTTTAACTAAAATGTTTAAAACCATGGAGCCAAAATTGAAGACTCATCTTTCAGCCTCTAAGACTCAACAGCTCCATTAGAAATACTGTACATGTATTCTACTAACATAAAATGACGCTAAATATGTTTAACTAAAATGGGATGGGGCTTATGATGAATCTTGAACAATGGAAAAGACACACAAGTAGATAGAGCAATAAATTAACAAATTCCTCACTGATATTCTGTATTCATGTGCCAACTGTGGAAAATGCATTAATAGATGACTCTTGGCAATGTGAGATCTCTTAATCATTGACTTTTATGACTTGTATTGTCAGGTGATAAGCACGCACATAGTACTTGATAAATTGATCACTTCTACTGTAAATGTACTTGTCAACAACTTCACTCAACACATCGACTAGGGACATGTTCAAAAATAAGCAAAATCTCACTATTAGATAATGTAATTTATAATTTAAGAAGTTTTGCCTCACATTTTATAATCATTATACTGCAGAACCTTAGAAAATGCTTTTTGAGAGTTGATTCTAAATTCTAAATCAGGAACGATGTAACTACTGTTACATCGGGTATATCACAATTTTGAGATGACCCCTCATTGTTGTCATATATTTTATTGCTTCTAACTCAAAGTCCACCCTACAGGTGAATGCTCACCACCCACACAACTCTGAATCCCAAAACACTCTTACTATATCAGATGATTTTCATGTTAATAAGATCACAATAATCTCTAATGGAGCTTTTGTAATATTTATGCAAGTTTGAATATGCAAGGAACATCAGCTACTAACAGGCAGAAAATGTCTTGTTTTCAGACTAGAAAGAAGAATTAAGAGTAGTGATGGGGTCCATCTCTCATAAAGGGTACATGTAACTGGTTTAATCTCAATAACTAATTTACAACCAGTCAACTACTGTACAACTACTCTATGCTATATCACAACATTTGGGAACTTGTGAATTAATATTCCAATAGTTTCCAACAAATTTTAGACATTAAATTATCCTTAAAAGAGTATTTACTATTCTATGTTGATTTTTTACTTTTTCCAATTGATAATTTGCAAATAAATCAGTGTTTGCAATAATAGCCAAAGAAATGTATAGATTTACAGTATTTCATACTTGAGAGTAATAATACTTATGTACTTTAAAACAGAATATTTCTAGAAAGCCATAGAAAATAGTTCATACAACATAATAAGGAAATACTGCAGATTTTAGATATAATCTCAATAACAAAACAACATTAGTGATTACAATTAGTGAAAAAACTCACAATTCAGCAAAAAATAGATATGACAGCAAGACGAAGAAGAACTACAATAGAGCACCTACGTACTGTGATGTCAGAAGATGTCAGTGACATAGAAACAGAATCTGAAGATGATCAACCACCAGAAAGACCAAGCACTGAAATCTCAGTATATACACTATTTCCAAGATTTGCTGCTAAGATGTTAGGCATATTCTACATTTTTACTGGACTTATTAAACTCTTGGCATGGTCAAGAATCAATGGGGCTATAACCAGATCAGCTGTGAGTAGACATGTAGTTTTTCTCAATCTTTATTGGGAATGGGGATGAGTGGGGATTAGGGGGTGACGTCATCTGTCAATGACTTTTATCCTTTGTCTCATACCCAAGACTCTCAGTCTATTACCTCCCCACTTAACACAGGTTTAATGTATAAAATAATTTGGTGAACTGTCTGAACTTTGAGCCTACTATTAGTGGGCTCACCTAATGCCATCTCTAAAATACAAATAGCATACAATTCCCAATATCTTATATGAATGACTTCGTTATTCCAGCTAAATCAATTCATCATATACTCAGAAAACTTCCCGCTTGCCATATTTGGGTTTCTACCAGATCCAGAGACGTATATGTTCACGATTGGCTGTATAGAAATGAGCTTTGGTGCAGTATTAGGATTTGGGGGCCACTTACCATCACGGAAGCTCGCATCCCTAGGACTCGCTGTTATTATGGTGGGAGCAACACTGACATACATTTCAATGCTAGAGCTGAGACTTTTCCTTCCACTTATTTTCCTTGTTGCGTTAATATGGATTTACTTATGTATAGAGGAACCTCCAAGGACCACAAAAGGAAAGAAGAACCAGTAAACTGAATAAATTCAAATGATTCTTGAAGAGATATTGTCCAGGAGCTATAATGCAGAGCCATTGCTCAAATATATTGTATCCACAGAATCATTTACCATTATAAATTGGTATAATCCCACCGAAGATACATAAATCATTCTACTCATATAGTCTAATATTTCAACCAATGCATGGAAGGTTGAACAAACAGACAGAAGGAGAGCCCTACTAGATAGTACTACACGCATTAACAAAAGCTCTCATTAAGTTAATAAGTTAAAAATGAATAAACTATTGTTCTCTTACTTTGGCATCTTACAACAAATATATTAAGAAATCTTCACTTTATGAATACTGCTGGAAATGTTGCCCAAGTGATATGGATTTCTGCACATTGAACTGAGCTTGAATATTGAAAACTGGAGTGAATGGTCAAATTACATAACTTTCTACTTAAAATTCAGATATGACGTATTTATTTGTGTTCTTGTACTTTGTACTTTGTATTTACAAAATAATACTAATAATAAGGTTGTGTGACCACTCAAAATGTCCGGAATGGCCACATTATAGGGGGTCAATTATACATTTGTATTTAAAAAAGTCAATGGTTCTCAAGATATTTCCCAAAAACTGATTTTAGAATGAAAACTCCACTATTTTCTCCTTTGATCCTGTCCCTAGCTCCGATTTCGTTACTCGGCTGGGAAAAAAGGTTTGTTGGTATCATTTTGTTCCAGACACTCTCTAGAATAAATTCATCTTGGGTGGAATAAAAATGTGTGGTAAACGAATTCGCTATGGGCAGTTAAAGAGGCGCCATCTATTCATTTTCAAACAGGGGGTAGGGGTATAAAATAATTTTTTAACACATTTTAATAGTAAAATGACATTGAAATACTAATAAAATCTTATCAAAAACATTATTTACAATCAGTATGAATTTTCTTGTGTGGATTAGGGTGAAAATAAGGGCATATCTTGAAATTCACTACAGGGGCGCCACCTATTTCTGTACGTGTACTAACTTATTTTAGATTCGCTAAGGTACGAAATGTACTGAAAAAATTCATTCTGAAGGACCTACACATGTTCATACCACATACTTAAAATTAGATCAATAGCTTATGTACCAGGGGAGAAAAAATTTTAAGTCCAGAGATTTTCTCTTCAGAAATCATCTATGTGAAGGTCATTGATCAATTTTGGCTTGGTAACATATTTGCCACTGAAGGCGAAATAGGTCAAATGGCCACACCCTTTTTTACGCGAATTCTCCCCCCCCCATTTTTGCATCTCCGGAACCGTTGGAAATAGAAGGTTGTGTGACCACTCAAAATGTCCGGAATGGCCACATTATAGGGGGTCAATAATACATATGTATTTAAAAAAGTCAATGGTTCTCAAGATATTTGCCAAAAACTGATTTTAGCATGTTACGCACAACAGTTTTCATCTATCCTGCATCATTTAAGACTGAATCCGCAGCTTCTATCTAGTCAGATCAGCGAAGGAAACAAACTTTTTTGGTTGTTGAGTTGAAAATTAAATTTTTTTTAAATGTATAATCATATTCCTACATCTTATTAGTATAATATTATGACAAAGCAAGAGTACATACACCATTTTGAGTTTATTTGAGATACATATGCTCCATATTTTGGAAGTTATTAAGGTGACATATGGTCACCCCTGGGACGTCAGAAGCCAAAATGAGAATTAATAATTTCTAAAATGTACAATCATTTTTCTACTTCTTATTACTAATATTATGACAAAGCAAGAGTACATACACCATTTTGACCACATTTGAGATACATATGCTCCATATTTTGGAAGTTATTAAGGTGACATATGGTCACCCCTGGGACGTCAGAAGCCAAAATGAGAATTAATATTTTTTTAAATGTACAATCATTTTCTTACTTCTTATTACTAATATTATGACAAAGCAAGAGTACATACACCATTTTGACCACATTTGAGAAACATATGCTCCATATTTTGGAAGTTATAAAGGTGAGATATGGTCACACCTGGGACGTCAGAAGCCAAAATGAGAATTAATATTTCTAAAATGTACAATCATTTTTTTTCTACTTCTTATTAGTAATATTATGACAAAGCAAGAGTACAAACAACATTTTGAGCACATTTGAGATGCATATGCTCCATATTTTGGAAGTTAATAATGTGAGTTATGGTCACCCCTATCCTGCATGATACCACAATTTTAAATTTCAATAAATTTTTTCTCCGCTGGTACATAAGCTATTGATCTAATTTTAAGTATGTGGTATGAACATGTATAGGTCCTTCAGAATGAATTTTTTCAGTACATTTCGTACCTTAACGAATCTAAAATAAGTTATTACACGTACAGAAATAGGTGGCGCCCCTGTAGTGAATTTCAAGATATGCCCTTATTTTCACCCTAATCCACACAAGAAAATTCATACTGATTGTAAATAATGTTTTTGATAAGATTTTATTAGTATTTCAATGTCATTTTACTATTAAAATGTGTTAAAAAATTATTTTATACCCCTACCCCCTGTTTGAAAATGAATAGATGGCGCCTCTTTAACTGCCCATAGCGAATTCGTTTACCACACATTTTTATTCCACCCAAGATGAATTTATTCTAGAGAGTGTCTGGAACAAAATGATACCAACAAACCTTTTTTCCCAGCCGAGTAACGAAATCGGAGCTAGGGACAGGATCAAAGGAGAAAATAGTGGAGTTTTCATTCTAAAATCAGTTTTTGGGAAATATCTTGAGAACCATTGACTTTTTTAAATACAAATGTATTATTGACCCCCTATAATATGGCCATTCCGGACATTTTGAGTGGTCACACAACCTTCTATGTCCAACGGTTCCGGAGATGCAAAAATGGGGGGGGAGTATTTGCGTAAAAAAAGGGCGTGGCCATTTGACCTATTTCGCCTTCAGTGGCAAATATGTTACCAAGCCAAAATTGATCAATGACCTTCACATAGATGATTTCTGAAGAGAAAATCTCTGGACATAGAAGTGCATACTCAACCAGCATGAGCTACTAGATCTTTTTTTGTTTAATTTTATGGTTATCTTATCGTATTAGGTTTTTAATCCCAGCGCTGGTATCATGGGCGTATCGCTATTTTTCTAAGTAGTACGCCACCACCACAGGAACAAGAGTTGAGTGAATCAAAATAGCAAGCATTCAGGTGGGGGTTCTCCCCAGGAAAATTTTGAAATTTGGTTGTATTTGGAGCGAATTTGCAACCATGTGGTACGCCTGTGCGTACCCAGCGTACCGGGCGCTACGCCCATGGGTATACCTCCCCTTGGTCTAGTTGTAAGAAATTTTGTAACAGATATTTGACCAGATAACTCTTCCTTTATCAGAGTAATAAAAAGGATTGTAAGGGAAAGATTGGCACACTTTTTGACCCGGTTTCTTCCAACATTTCCAGGGTATGGGCAGAGCATGTTACCCCAAAGCTCAACCAGTGATGCAGTAATTAATATGAACACCTGGATTTTCAATACAGAAAATATAAAATACAGCACATGAATAAATCATTGTGCCATGTATTGGCATTTCATAACATCATTCATTATTACTGTGAAAGATGGTTAAAAAGAAGCATTCAAAAAATTCCTAAATACATTTTTTATTTATTAATAGATGTCGCTGGTACGTTGCTGATGTTTGAGGTGAAGTATTAACTGGGAATGTTATCTGCAAAGATCAATGTGTAAGCTTTTAAATACTTGTAGTTTCAATAGATTCTTATATCAAAGTAACATTTTATATGTCATTTGAAGAATGTACTCCTATTTTCTTTACTTTAGAATATAGTCCGGAGTAGGGATACTAGCGGTTACCGTTAGTTATTTGGTTTTCTGTATAAAAAGCTCTTTCTCCTTTTCTGTCCCGTCGCAGCGCCATCTAGTGTTTGATAAATGAATCAAGGTTTATTCTCGATAGGATAAGTACTAATCTATCAGGAAACATTTACAAGTTTGGTTAGAAACAGAATTTTTATAGATGGCGGAGTGATTTTTGAGACTATGTAGAGCAGAATAATTTTCTGAAACAGGTAGCTTTACGGTGGTAGCTCTCTCCAGATTCAGTTATCTCAAAAACGGTGTGGTCACCGTATGCTTATTTTGTAACGGCAAGCTAGACAAGACTCCAATGAACACTGGGCACTGTTTTGCTGAGCTAGATCTGTGCCCATGAATATATTATGAAATGAAACGTTATAATGGTCGTCAATGGGATTTTTTACTGCAATCTTGACCCTATTAGCAACAGGGTGGTGACAGTACTAGGGTGGGAAATAGCGTTATTTTTGTAAAAATCACACTTTCTTAGCAATGTGTACCTTGCATCTCTAAGAAAAATCAAATTATCTGAAGAATTAGCAATTTAGATTTTCGCTGATTCAGCATTTTTCATTTTTTACCTAAAAATCACAGGTTTTGACCATTTTTGGCCTGTATTTTGTTACAGGATAGCACAAGAGGGCTGTTAGTGCTGGTTTTAAGAGGTTGTTGACAGGCTCTTATCAAATTATTACCGAATTTAAATATTTAGCCATTATCATAGCATGTAATACAGCTTTTTCCTTTGTGTCTGAATTTATCTTGAAAATATATGACAAATTTGACACATTTAACCCAATAGACTGACTAAATATGGCTGAAAACAGTTACTAACATGCATGTAATTAAAACAAGAACATTGCTATGCAAAACTGATATGATAATTTAATATAGAAGCTCATTTACTGAAAATTAATCATTAAATAATGGCTAATTTGGGGTAATCTCTGATCAAAAATGACTAGATTTGACCATTTTTTTGTTTCATGGTTCAGTGATTTTGGCAATAAACATTATGGAAGTTCGAATAAACGTTTTGACATGCTAAATATTGTGAATTTTTGTTAAGCCATAGCGAGTAGCAGTATTTCTATTGCAAAAATGGTCAGTTAGGTATAAAACTGCATGGCCCTAAAATAAATGACCCAGGGGTTAACAAAGCAGCTATAAAAGCTCTTCTATTGGTGCGATTGGGCTTAAATTGCACAAAAAGTCTTGAAACACTCTTATGTTTAAGAAAAACAAGATTTCTGGCACAAAATCATTCAACCGTGTCACTATTAGAATATAGTCCAGAGTAGGGATACTAGCGGTTACCGTTGGTTATTTGGTTTTCTGTATAAAAAGCTCTTTCTCCTTTTCTGTCCCGTCGCAGCGCCATCTAGTGTTTGATAAATGAATCAAGGTTTATTCTCGATAGGATAAGTACTAATCTATCAGGAAACATTTACAAGTTTGGTTAGAAACAGAATTTTTATAGATGGCGGAGTGATTTTTGAGACTATGTAGAGCAGAATAATTTTCTGAAACAGGTAGCTTTACGGTGGTAGCTCTCTCCAGATTCAGTTATCTCAAAAACGGTGTGGTCACCGTATGCTTATTTTGTAACGGCAAGCTAGACAAGACTCCAATGAACACTGGGCACTGTTTTGCTGAGCTAGATCTGTGCCCATGAATATATTATGAAATGAAACGTTATAATGGTCGTCAATGGGATTTTTTACTGCAATCTTGACCCTTATTGCTATATTTACTGTTATTAAAAATTGTATATCGGATGTACGTTTGGCCCTAAAAGAGCATCAGTACTAATAAAATCCTATTATATATATAGAGAAAGATTGATTCTTACTTATGAAAGGCAATTGGTAGCTTACAAAACAACACTACCTCAAGGCTAGTCTCATTTTCACAGGCTGAATGCATAGTTATATTAGAAAAAAACAGGGGATACCTTAATACTAATAACAAATGCATTTCATTCATATGATGCTGTTATAGTGTCACAGGCTTTCTCTGAATACAGTATGTGATAATATTATCATCCATGGTAAGCCACATTGAAAAACAGAGGAAAAGAAAGAAGGGACAATCAGAGGATATTGGTACACATGCATTTACAAACTGAAATATACTGCTAGATATTGACAGTGTCATCACAATATTAGACATACAATGTTGTACTAAAGTACAAATGTATTAGTTCATAGTCCAAGTGATAACTTGAATAGAAACTTTGTAGCATATTAGTAAGCAAACATTTGAAAATAGTAAGCAGCATTATTGAGAGCTCACAACCAAAACTGTAGGACTAAGCAGATATCATGGCGACCCTTGCAAAATATGTGGAGAAAGCAGTGGCTGGTGCGTATCTGTTCTTAGGAGGAATTAAAATTGTAGCATTGACAAGTATATCACCAGTAATCAGAGACACATTTGTAAGTATGTTAAATTCATTTTAGACATGTTTTATATACTGTATGGCTATACCCAATTCAGCCTGTCATCTGTCAAATGCTGTCAACATTAATTTTTTAATACTGTTTGATTTATCATTTATATCAATGAAGTTCATGGACATTGTTGTAAAAACTTAACTTGTGAAGAATTACTGCCCTACAGAACTACCAATAGTGGAATTCTAATAAAACAAAATACATTTTTAAGGAATATTAGTACTTTTGTAAAATTATTAACAAGGCATTAAAATGCAAAATGTCACCATTTGCCATTAGTAACAGATGTCGAATGCCAAACACCAACCACCAAACACCAACTGCCGCCACAAAAAAGTTGGAGACAATAAACAATATGTCACTAATTATGATGGTGGCAATAAAATTCAATTGATAAAAACGCTGTCTAATACTTCTGATTTAATGATATTACTTTCCTATTTTCAGACGACACAATTCAGAGATTTTGCGCAAGTTTTCCCTCTTGCAAAACTTGGATACATCCCAGAAACACAATGCTTCCTGGCAACAATTGGATTTGTTGAAACCTTCCTTGGTTTACTTTTGATGTTTGGAGATGGAGGGGTTAAGCAACTAGCAGCTAAGGGGTTAATGGTTATAATGTTGGGTGCCATATGGACCTTGGCACACATTGACCCGCCACAGTTAATTGTGCCCATTTCTTTCCTTGGAGGACTTATATGGATTCATAACAATGCTGAGAAAAAGGATAACAAGAGATTGTAGAGTCAATATGAAATCAATGGAAAACAATTTACATGTAGCAATGCTACAAGAGATATTGCATAAGATAGGAAATTTATGTGTCCATAACTAACTGAACAGTGCCATAATAATTGTTTATAAATACAGAGAACTAATCAACAGAGAATGATATACTGTATTTGTCTTTAATTTGGCGAACTTTTTAAATTGGTGAATTTTGGATGTAGTGGATGATGTCTGGACCCCTGTGTGCAGAGGATGGGTGAAGCCATAGAGTGTAACTTTCAATGATGACAATATCTATAATTATAACATACCTATGATGATGTATAGTGCAAAGTGTACACAAGACAGCGGGCCAATATAAGTTTTGAAAAGCCTGCGTCCGATAACTTTCTGATTGGTCAAGGCGCTGACGTCATAACCAATCAATCGAAGATAAAACTGCACGAGCAATTTTTCTAAACTCATTTCAATCATTTTCAAACCATTTGTTTGTCAATTCTATAAGAAAACGGTACTCTCTGACCAGTCTACATCATCATAGGTATGTTATAAATCGTTTATGTCACTATCGTGGCACATATGCCCTCGGTTCTCAGAGATCAATGTCCCTCCCAAGGTCGGGCCATATATCACTGAGAACTCGGGCATATATGCCACGGTAGTGACATAACCTCTAAAGACACCATACTTTGAAGATGCTACCATACTTTTAAGATGACACCATTATGTTGAAATGAGACCATGAGAATTATCAATATATAATTTATCATCTCTTCAAACTTTCACGTACAAAGAAATATAATGAATCGACTTCATGCAAAAATTAAGCCATTTATGCTCCATTCTACTGATGAGTAATTCTTGAACTTGAGTAAAAGGTTTTCAACAAACATAACACATTTTGTATACATGCATATATACATTGTACAAGTTGTATAAATAAATTTTATATGCCATTTTTAAGTCAAAAGTAGGACATAATATGTCAAATGTGACATATCTTAAGATAGGAGAGTTTTTTATACTGAATGCATACCTACACCTCACATTATTCATCTCTTTCAAAGAGAAAGGTTTTATGACAAGTCATTTGACTTCAAAAGAATCCAAATGTAAAACAACATTCTAGTACTTTTATTTAAATTCAGGAGCGGTAAACCGGTAATGTAATATTGTACAGGACTATTGCTTATGGTCTATTGATGTATTAAGACTTTTGCTTTGAACAGACAGTCTAATGAAATAATACATTCTATTTTCAAAGAATAGCAGTTGCACTTTCAATAAATCCATCAATGTGTATTCCCTGAAGCCCAATTATAAAACACCATCTTGATAGGTGTATCCTGCTGTATCCTTCATAGATTCATGTATATATGTTACTTCTGAATAAATTTATACAAAATAAAAAAAAACTTACCAATTTGTCTCCTGATGGATCATCAGTGTCAATCTCTGGTTTCCTGTCAAAGAGCACCATCATTCTGTTAGCCGCAGTCTTAGCTTTCCCATAATCTGGCGCAAATGAACTGGCCTGACCTAAAGCCATAGCCCCAAACACGATGGCTCCGAAAACTCTGGAAAAAGTATTGTTATCATCATCAATATGGTATAATATAGAACATAATTTAAGATTAATGAAACATGTTCAACTACAAAGAAGTTCAAACAATTTTCTCGATGTTGTATCAATAATCTTCCAATTTAATTAAGTTGGGCCAAGTGCAGTGATTTTCATAATGCCACCGGTAATTTTCTAATTAAGTGGTCCAAGTAGAATGGCTTTTAAAGAATCAGTATGAAAACAGGTTGTATAAAATGTCTATGTTGATTGACACTGAAGGTCAACCTAATACCACAACCTAACATTTTAATTCTAATTTGTGAATCTTTGAATTGAGCGTATCATGTCAATTATTCATTTCTACATTTCTCATGTTTTTCCATGCACCGTACAGCTGATCTAATCCAAAAATATCATTTAAATTGACATCTTTTCAGAAAGAAACATCTCACATTTGGTTATTCATGAATGAAAGACAAACCCCAAGTAGACTTACCTGAACACACTGACGTAATCCATGGCCCCAACTTTAACAAGATATGCACCATAACTGAAGGCAGCAGCATATACCCAGTAAATGATGGCTTGGGAGAATCCAAATGTGATACCATAGACATGAGCTTTCTTCAAAGCCTCTCTGAAAGTTAATAGTACAATCATATATGACATTTTTTATAATATTGACCTAACTCATATTGTTTTCATGCGGCTCTATCAGATTGTATCTTGTGAACTTAACATCCAAAAGTTGACCAATAAAAACAATATAGACAAGTTTATTTTAATTTTAAATTGGTTTAAAACTTACTTGTATGTAATGATGAGTTTCTCTTCATATTTATCACCAAAGTGTTTTTCCTTATGCAATGATGCTACGGTTCTCATGTTTTCAACTGTTTCTATAGCAATCTGCAATAAAAAAAATCTAGATATACTCTGGGGTTTGCATTTTGCATGGAGAAGTAATTCTGCCTTAATTGCCAAATATTGACAGTTCAAAATATTGGTGTTCTTGTGCTCCAAGTTATCAAGAACAAGAAAATACAGTGCTATTGCGACTAATATGACAAGAGGCAAAAATGTCACAAAATGGGAGGAGAAAAGATCTATAAAGATGTATGGTATACTAAGTGGAAGTAGTGTGAAAGGAGCCAAGGCACACAGGCTTCTTAGAAAACATCAACCAAGTTAACCTCAAAGGTACAACAGTCCACACCTACTTAGTACATACATAAAAATGTATTACCTTTCCTGCGCCCTCTAATGCTTCATTGTCTCTGTTAGCGTGTCCTGTAAGAACCCTCATCTGTATAGCCCCAGCTATAGCGATCAGTGGCACACAACCAAGGATGACTAAGGTCAACTGCCAGCCAAACACAAAGGCAATTATGATAGCTGTCCCCATGCTAGAGATGTTCTGAATCATCATGCCAATCCTTACACCAGTCGCCTGAAATAGACATTTCATTGTTCAAATTATTTGGCAATTATTTTGTAACATATAATAACACATCTTACATGATCAGATCAACATTCATAAGGGTGGACTAATATAAAAATCAAGATAGCAATATTAGTGATCTCCTTTGCACAGCAAATATGTACAACATCAACTTGAAATATTTCTAAATAGATAGAGTTTTTATATTTCAGCTCATTTTTCACACCAAGAATTGTAATCTTCTGCCCATTTGAATAAATTCAAAAAAGAGAAATTGTACACCAGCCACTCACAATGTATAGTAGTTAATTTATCTAAAGCTACAGGTTCATGGATGTAGTGTTCGTTTTTTTCTCTACATGCCTTAATAAAGAAATCCATGTAATAAAAAAATGAGCGTACCCCTTGTACTTGAGAGGCATCAGTAGCTAGCCTTGTACAAAGGGCTCCAGTGTTGTTATTGTGGTCGTCATACCAACCAATCTCCTACAAATCAAAAAAATAAAACATACTCTTAGAATAAGTAATAAAGTCTGTGACAATGAACTCCAATAAATGGATTTAATATTTCCAGACTGTGAGGTTATTTAATGTACTCTTTGAATAATTGTTATTCTTTATTAGCAGCAGGCAATTTGCTCTGAGTTAACCAAGAGATTGTTGTTTTAAAGAGTGTTTCAACAGATTTCATGTTAAAATCATAATTTCAATGATTTTCCATATTACATCATCTATTTCAATTCTATTCATTTAATGCCTGTTGCTTCATTCTTGTTGCCTCTTGTTGCAAATTCAAATGACAGCCCTTGATTTTGAAACTTTTGAATATAACCTAATACGGTATAAGGTACATCAGCAAAACATTCTTAGTTGAAATATTTCCAAGAGTTTATCCTGAACAGATAGGGTAATACTATATATCATTTTAAAGGATAAAAGAGAAAACATACCTGTCTAAGTATAGCTTTGAAAGCCATTTGTCTCAATCGCATTGTAAGATTCTCTCCAGATTTTGCAAACAGGTAACTCTAAAATCAGACAAAGATTAGAAGATGGATTCATCTGTCAAGTTCAATTATTTGACAAGGTGCATTGGCTTTCATTTTATAAGCTATTGTATTTTATATGTCCTGTATTTGTAATATTTTATAATTTGCATATTTGCAATATCGTTTGATGCACAAGCTTATTAAATTAAAACAAATATGATGTTGTTTAAGGAATTGGCAGCAGAAGCAAATAAACAATTTTGAAATTAGACTTGCATGACTTGAGGGTAAAATCCTAAAAAGAAAGTATCATATAATAATACCAAATGGAATCAGATGATATAAGAAAAAGTTGTAGGCAGGAGGTTATAAGTTCAAGTTGCCTGTGTTTACTAATTTACCTGTAGGAACATGGCCAAACCAGCAACAACACCAAGAGCAAGGAACAGGGCAGAGTACATGGCGGTCTTCCTCCTTTGTTCTTCCAGGTCAAGACTTTGGAATACCTACAAGTCAGCAAGATTATGATTCTGTATTGTTACATTGAGTGTAAGTACATCTTGTGCATAAATGTCTGGTTATCGTGTCTTTCGTGTCACATGACATGGATTTGACCAACCATAAGATTCTGAGTTTGACAGTGATATAGGAAATAAGTAATGTATATGTTATAGAACTTAGCAAGTATCTAGACTAAGAATGAAATATGAAAATACCAAAATATATTTTCCGAGGAAAAAACCATGGAAATACTAACTCCGAGAATTTCAGCAAAGATGACAGCGAATGATGGTTGTACTCCACCATTGATGAGGGATGCAACACAGCCAATTGTTATGTAGGGCCATTCTGGGGCATTCAATCGCAAAATACGGGTCATTGGTGCATCTGGAACCTTCTCTTCCTTAACACACAAAAATACATAAATTCAGAGGTGAAGAAAAGTTAAACAAATGAGAAGATTTATTGAAAAATATTTGGCAAATTTCTTAAACATTTTTTATCTTAATCCAGTCTGTGTTACTAAAATTATTTTAGCTATGAATTTCAAAAATTGAAAATATCAACCAGAAAATTTCAAATCTGAAGCAACAAGCTGCTTTTAGCAAATGTTTTACTATTGTTTTAACTGACATATGTAAAATTGCAAACCTCCTCTTCCTCTTTCTTTTCTCCCATAGATTTGGTTGATATTCCACGTTCTAGTTTTGCAGATGTGACACGTTGTAAGGATGGATTTGTCTTCTTCATAAAGTCTTGCATTCCTTCATCTGAAATATTGGCCAATCAAATCAAAGCTAGGAATATCCAGACAAGTGAACAAAGATAATTGGTGGATATCTCGACTCAGGTTACCCCATCTCCCATAATTGTTACCCATGCTATGGCAACACACAAAGCTTTTTCAGCATGTTAGATCTACTATTCTAGTATTAGAGTGTTAACATCAAAGTAATTTGGAATATAATAGAAATAATCAATCATTAAGCAAGATGGCTGATTATTTATCAGGATTTTTGTATTTTTAGGCAAGACTAGAGTTTTTGAAAAAATAACTGCTAAATGGATCGTGAGGTCCTCAGACTAAGAAATTAGAAAATGAAACTAAATTCTACATGCATAAAAAATATTAGCAACTTTATTACAGCAAGCGATATACATCCATGATAAATGAAGAGGACTCCTTGTTTAAACAGAAAAAGAAAAAATTCAGTTTATAAAATCATGTAAACTTCAGGTTTATAATTTTCACAAGCTATGGTTTACCAATCCCCAATCAAAATCTTGAAAGTAAATATTCTTATTTTCCATGATGAATATTCTCACTCAAGCTGTATCCATGAAAATTACTTGAAAATCATTATGCAGATCTACCTTCATTCTTAATACAGGTAGAAATAACTAAAAATCTTGATTTTCCAAAATTATTTCGGTTGACAGTTTAAATTAATTCTAAATTAAAAACTGTGATAATGACCTGTGACTTTAAGTCACTAAATGGCCCAGTTTTCTCTCCAAAACAAATTCTCTTACAAGCCTTGCGATACCCTCAAAATTTGCATGTTTTTTATTTTACATTTTACAGCCTAAATTCTCGTGATAATTAATAGAAATAGTATACTTAGTATAGAGATAATCTCTCTAAGTTTTTCAATATACATGTATATATACAATTAGAAAGAAAACAAAAGAATCATACCAAGTTTATCTGGGTCAGATAGATACATATCATCCTCGTCTTCTAAAGAATAAACTAACTACATCAAACAGTGGATTAGTCATGCAGTAGCAGTTAATAACAATAAACAGTAACTAATTAAAAAGTAGCAGTTATGCATAATGAACAATGGTTAATCCAAACATGCATTAAATCTAAATATATAAGTTTCTAATTTTTGCAAACACACAAGAATAAGATGCAAAGTAAAGAAACAACAAGGCATTAACATGCAAAATATCACCACCTGCCATTTGTTACAGATGTTGAACACCTACTACCAATAAAGTTGGAGACCATTACAATATGTCACAACTTGTGGTGGTGACATAAAATGAGATTTTTAAACGGAAATAAAATAGAAATTAGAATCTACAGAGATAGCAAATACATTTTGAGTTGCAACAACACTAAAGTTTGAGGCAAAAGCTAGCTACGTAGTAAATTATACAGAAAAATTTGAACCAAAATCTAGATTTTTGAAACTATCAAAATTCATAAATATTATAACTAGAGTATATCTAAAATTGTGAGTTGTGTTTTATTCTAAAAGCTTATAAACATTAATGTGCACAGTTATGCTAAAATAAAAGTGATGACTACAGCAGTACCCTTTGCATTCGTTTGACTTCACTTCTTAAAAGAGAGCTTCGTCTTTCATAGTTTAACTAGACTGCACGCAGGGTACTACAGCAGTATCTGTATCAATGAAATTTGTGATAGTGAAAACATAAAAATATGCAGATTTTCAATAAAACCTCTAATTCAAACATTGTCAGAACATTTCATGTTATGTTCCTTAGTAAATCAGCAAAAGCATCCTTACCCTTCCCAGCTTTTAATGTTAGCATGCATACATAAAATAATTGCATAAAACATTACAGTCTCTTGCAAAGTGCCAAAAAAACAGCAGGGGAAATCAGGAAATCCTCTAGACTTGCACCTAATCTTTTTGTGACCCTCTCTCATCACTTGATAATAATCAAAACCTCAGTGCAGGACTAGAAATTACTTCATGCAGAAGAATAGAGGATTGTTTCGATATGAGACATTTTTGGAGCAGTGCAGGAGACTGTATATAGAGAATGTATGGCATAGATAGGCCATTTCCAAGCACTTATGTAAATGCACTAAGTAAAAGGCAGTAAAGCATCCCATGCATTTACTCCTTAACTGATTAAATAAATTAACTAATTAATTATTTTCTAATTGGCTCCCCCTCTGGTGATAACAAAATGCTTAATATAAGAACCAATAATTGACACATATTTGTGTCAAAGACCAATAACTGACACACATTTGTGTCAAGGACCAATAACTAACACACATTTGTGTCAAGGACCAATAACTGACCCACATTCATGTCAAAGACCAATAACTGTCACACATTTATGTCCTTGCTGAAACCCTTGGTACAGTGTAGGTTCTGGTTCTGCATTCACCATTTAAATGACTCTCTTATTCTGCATAAGCTTATGAAGTTATTTTACATTAACTAATAGTGTTTGGTTAGTGTTATTTCACACATTCATATACACTATCAATAGTAGCACAACATGATCATTTTCAATTGTCTTTCATAATTTTAATATCCCGAAACACATATGAATTTCATGAATCGGAATCAATAATAAAACAAGAGAGTATATAAGTCAAAAGGTAATGTTATCAGGTTGTGAGATATTGATAGCATATACAAGTATAAAATTTACATTCAAGGACCATACATACCTTCATCTTTGAGAGACTGAAATAAAATGAAGAGGAAAAACTTGTAATTTCATAATATATCTTTTTAAACAAATTAAATGACAATCAATCTTGAAACATAAAATGTATTAGGAACATGAGGTTAACATTGAATGATTATTTATAAAATGCACTTTTTGATGGAAATCCAAACCCTCTTTCACTGAGTTGAAACCAATTTCTTGGATTTCGGTATAATTTGAAAGTCTTCCTTTACTCATATATTTGTTTACTTTATTCCTTGCTGATTCCACCATTTTCTTCTACTCCATTTAAGCTAATATAATAACCAACATGAGATGTTCCATATTTTCTACTGACCTGTTGTAGCGTAATCAGGTTATAGTAAATGCCCTGCTTTTCCATTAGTTCTTCATGGGAGCCTTGTTCTACGATACGGCCATCTTCAAAACTGGTAATACTGTTTGCATTGCGGACTGTGGACAACCTATGGGCAATAACAATGGTGGTTCTTCCTACCTTGACCTGAAATACAAATTAAGATATCAAGTTTTTAATAGGTTAGCAAGATATTTCAGAGTTTATCAAGAAAGTTTTATTTCGTATGGTTTTGGTGTGTATACATTATATAATAAACTTTAATTCCACATTGCACACTTTGAATAGCATGAAGGCTGATGGAAATTAACTGTTTATGGTGACACAATTATCTAAATGCCAATGTTTTTAGCGTACCTTGTCCAGCGCTGCCTGTACAATAGCCTCACTCTCAGTATCGAGGGCCGATGTAGCTTCATCGAGAAGTAAGATCTTGGGGTCCCGTACCAGAGCTCTTGCAATGGCGACTCTCTGTTTTTGTCCACCAGATAACTGGGCACCTCTCTCTCCAACCATTGTCTCATATTTCTGAATATCACACATGCTTTCTAAGTTAATTTTGGCAAAGAGAAAAAGTATTTCACAGTATTGGAAACACAATTTTCCATATTAAGACCCAACCCAAAATCACTCTTTTCTATTCTAGGGACTTGATACCAAACATTGACTCTCGTAAAACTCTACCCAGTGATTCGCTACCCTCAAAACCTCATCTAGACGACACCTCAACCTCCTTTAAGTATTAAAAAAAATTAGAACCTTGATAACCTATTGTCCTAAAATTCCACCCTAAGACCACCAAGCCTCACCTGTGGAAGTTTCATGATGAAGTCATGTGCATTAGCCTCAATTGCAGCAGCCTGGATCTGTTCATCTGTCACACCATCTCTGCCATATCTGATGTTCTCAATAATAGTTGTACCAAACAAAATAGGTTCCTGGCTAACTACACCGATGTGTTCCCTCAACCAACCAACATTTAAGTCACGCACATTGTTTCCATCAATTTTAACCTGAAAGTAAAGAAGGATATTCTCTGTGTGAATGGCATTTACATAATAGCACAATGTAATTAAAAGTAGTGCAGGAAAACTCACCAAAAAAGTAAATCGAGAGTTAACAGTACAGTGAGTAAGCATAATATAAAATTATTCCACGTTAGTTCACAATATCAAGAGACACTAATATTTTTAACCATCTGTATCTTTTGTGGTTTTCAACTACGGAAGCACAATGAGCAATTGGTACGATAAATCACATTAAATCACACCTTGAAATATAAAAATGTAAAGGGCAATGCCAGTAGTCAGTGAACAGTGAACAGTGCCTCATCACCTTAGTTACCTCAGACTAAAAGGTTCACTTATAGTGGAAGATATATCAATTTAGAAATGATTAATATTTATTTCAAGAATTTTGTCTTTTAGATTTGGTTTTACAGAATGATTTCCATACATAAAAAATAACATAACAAAGAGATCATATTTTAATATTGTTTAATTCTGTCTATTCTGATATTCGATTAATCTCTATAAGTGGTCTGATAATGTGTTTTTTATCTGAATTCAGCTAATGAGAGGTGTTCCAACTTTCATGAAGTGGGATGTTTGATTATAGGAAGCACCGTGTCAGACCGACCTTGTCAATGAATAAATGCAGGAAACTGTTAAGCTTAAGGTTAAAACCTGCTTATTCCTCTTAAAAAATAACAAAATGTGACATAAAATGCTAAATAAGATGTTCAAGTCAGAGCAGTGAACAGTGTTTTTCAACAAATCTGCCGTTCAATGTTCAAGTTTAACATGAGAGTCAATGGGAGAAAAAATACATTAAAAAATGTCAGTGTCCATCTTTTAGAGTTGTTCAAGTTGAATTGTACTTCCTCATATTAATTGTAGGATAAAGGAAACTTGAAATGCTTATCAAATCCACAGATGATTTAAAGCACTTAGTTTTTAATTGACACAGCAAAACACATGTGTGATAGACAGAAATATCATGGCTTCAAACATACTTGAACGTGGAATTTTTACTCTTTTATATTCATGAATTAAGGCTTAGGTAAATATGTTGCTATTCCAAAAATAATACTGAGTTCATGATATGATGCTACTTTGATAATATGATTTACAACATATACATAGCCAAACGATTAGAGTTTATTTCATCATTTCAACACAGATATCCATTTATTATTTGATCAACATTTGAATCATGGTCATCAAAGGATTTTTAGTGTGTCTTCTTATATTCTGCTGTTGCTGCTGCATGACGGTAAATCTATTAGTTTAAGTTTTAAAGCTTAAATTGACCAGAAATGGCATGTTGAATAAAGCTTAAATAAATATACATGAAAATCATGATGAATCATAAAAACTGAATTACATTTCATGAAAAGCTGAATTCATGAAACTCAATATGATTACACATAAAATAGTAATTTTACATAATGAAACATAAGTGAACTTCATGAATGCAACTCAGGAGAAGGAAAAGAAAGTGAGTTCTGAAAGCAGGGATAGACTGGGGGAGGGAGGCACATTGAGAGACCCAAAAGCAGGAAGACAATTTGTCAAGAAAACATAAAGAGCGACATTATTATTAACTTAAAACCCATATGAATACGATAGATATAGATACCCACAAATCTGAAATGATATCTATCTATAATATAGGTGATGCGTCAGGAGCTAGGCCAGCCATGTACCAGAGAAGACCCTAAATGTGCAGACAATGTACCAGGGAGCATGTGCCACAATGAACTATGCAAGTGCAATGATACATACTTTGAGGAGGATGCAATTTGTCTCTTAAGTGAGCTAAATATTATGTTGACAGTCCAAATGACCCATTGTTCATGTTTTAGTGATTCAGATATGAATTTTCATTTTTGCTTTAATTTTTATAAGAAATAGAATTTTGACCATTACCAGTTTCTCCTGTTTCACTGCGATAAAATGTCAGAAACTGGTTTCTCTAGTTCAAGACTTACCAATGAAAAAGTATAACTATGGGAGAACAGAGATTGAACTACAAATGTATTAATGTAAATAACTGCTGCAGTATATATGCAGCCGTTCTTATAGATAGTCTCATAATATCAACCAGCAACTGCCTTCGGGCTTTTTCTTTTCTTAAATCATAAATTATTTTTCATATTTGAAATTTTTGAAAAATGTTGAATTTTCATAGCTGATAAAAAACAAAAATTGTTTATATGAATGTATGAAATGAAGAAAAACTGGTACAGTAATTTTACTCGGCTGTCCAATGTCTTATTCTTCAGAACCTGAAAAGCCTGACTTCTACCAACATAACAGAGGCTCAACCTTTATCCACATTCGGAGGTATGTGTTCCGTAATCAAATTCCTGCAAACACGACACTCATACAATGGAGGGCTGTTAACAAAGAGCATGATCCAAAGACTGGTCATGAAGAGATAGCATGGACAAGGGAACGGTATACACTCAGAAATCTCACTGCTGGAGTTCTGTATGAGATAAAGATGCAGAGTAAAACAGGCCGTCGCTTAAGCAATTCAACAGCAAAAAGACTCAGTACAAGTGAGTGAATTCTAAATCAATTCTAACACCTGTTCTCTCTAGTCATATTGACTAACGAACAAACTTTAATGACAGTGTCAAATTGACAGAGCAATCTAGTGACCTCATACACTCGGCTATAGGCACTGTCGCTATCATCATGAGGTTGTGAGTTTGAGCAGCGTGAGCTCTTTGTGTTTATTCATTTATTTCACATTGATAACTCCTCTATATGTGAATCTCATACAGTTCCAGCAGATCCTGTGCCAGTTCTTACTCATGCAAGCTCAAGTTCTTTGACAATTGCTTGGGACCAAGCTGGTGTTGCAACAGAAGGCTATAGGGTTAATGTTAACCTACCAGCTACAATAACACGACAAGCAAATGGAACAACAATCCACCTGACTGGCTTGTTACCAAATACAACCTATACAGTTGGACTACAAGCATTTTCAAATGGATTGGACAGCAGGTTGACATCTACCAACTTTACAAGTAAGTATGGAAATTCCAAATGCAGGTCAAATGTGGGATTTAAAAAATTTCAAAATATTATGTTGATTTGGGATTATTTTTCATCAAAAACTACCCATTTCACAAAATTTTCATTTACTTTCCCCATTACAATTACTTTATTCTTCTACCAGTGTTCAAAATTGGGAATGAACTCAAAATCAATATTCTTTCAGCTTTGCCGTTTGTTCATCTCACACCTAGCAGTGACCCTATGCCTACCCCAGTGATAGTGTTGTTTTGTGTTCTAATATTGCTGATTCTTGGAGTCTTAGGCTACTGTGTGTTCTCAATGCGTAAAGAGAAGTATGTTCCTCGAGGTCACTATTCAATATCTATGTAAATGAACTAAAGAAACAAACAGTAACTATGTGGGCAAAAACATTCAGCCAAATTGCTTGTTGCTAATGAAATTCCTGTTTTTACATGACTTCTCATTTGTTTGACTAATGCTCACTTATTCTCTAGGACCAAGGCTGAACCAGTTGGAGAAACAAACCAAGGAAGTACAATGGAGAAACTATAATCTACAAATCTTCGACTCAGAAAAATCAGAAATCAAGCACCTACATTGTGTCTCCACATATAAAGGACTAAGAGACAAAACAAATAGAAATGAAAATGACAATATGAGCTAAGGAGATGAAACTATTTACAACACATCAACTTGCAAGATGAGCAAGCTTTAAAAGTATATACTTTGAATAAGCTGATAAACCTGAACACTATGATTGTTAATTTAATTTATATTTGTCCCAACAAAGTGTAATGTTATAGGTAAATATGTAAAGGACGATTTTCGATTTGGAGACCCCAATTCATCTGCATACTTCAACATTATCAACGTCGCTAAAGATTTTCATATTTTTACGTATTGTAGATTTAAATGTCCTCTTTTGTTTACCATAGTTTTAAGGATGGTTATATTTTTAATTTTTTCATAAAAATATTAGCAAACCCCCTACGTTGTTTTCATGATTCGTACAACATGTATTGCATAATTCTATTAGACACGATTTAAGAATTTATTGTTTTTCAACATTTTGAATAAGCATATTCAAATGATTTTTTCATGATATACTTATGACATGTCAAGTTCATTCTCTGTTCATTTCTTTTACATCCGTCCAACAGAATTGTGCAATATAGTTCTTTAAAAGTTGGTATATTTATCCCACATTTATGGTATGATCCAGGCATGTATCTATTTCTGAAGGATAAAAAAAAATGGTAATTTGTCACTTACAGTGCCTTGTATGGTATCATAGAATCGTTGTAACAAAGATACAGTTGTACTCTTCCCGCATCCACTAGGGCCAACCAGAGCAACTGTTTCTCCTATATTCACTTTCAAATTCAATCCTTTCAGAATCTAGAAAACATATAAGAATAACATAACTGTGTTGTATCAAAGATACACATCTTTCCATATTCAACACTGCTTATAAAAGCTATTTGTGTTCATTCCATAAAGGGAAGTACAATTTAAACAAAAGACACAAGAGATGAACAGCATCATGAAAATGCACAGATGGTTCCTAAACTTTAAATGTAAAAAGGATCTCCAGCAACTATTCTGGCAGTATATTATTCTAAGATGGCTCAAACAAAAAATTAAGTTCAATATTAAATTTAAGTGTGAAAAACCTACTGGAACATCTGGTCTTGATGGGTAATGGAATACAACATCACTGAATTCAACATTCCCAATGATATTTGCTGGTTTCATCCCTTCTTGTGATGCACTGTCAATCTCAGACTCCTAAAATATAAGATTCACTGAACTGAATATTGAGTGCATGAGGAATTTGCATCTTGTTCTGAATAATCAGACAACGTTTCTCAAGAACATGAGTGAAATAGACACCAAATTAAGAATTATATTAGAATTCTTATTCTTTTTTGTCATTTTAAGTTGATGTATTTAAAACAGTTTTTTTTAGATAATGTGAAAAACACAATAAATCACTTAATTACTTTTAAATATCTTGGAAACAAGCGTTTAACACCATTAAGTCTGATTTTAATATGCAATGTTAGTGTAGATGTTAAAGAATTGTAGACGAGTGACATCCACTCATTTAGATTTCAACAAAGCAAAGTAAATGCATGTCTAATATAATATAATGTAAATACTACAGAAATGTACGTATAAATAAATAAATATAGCATTAGTACAAATAAAATAAAGATTTACATTTTCTCAGTGTTTTTCAGAGTGGCTGATAACTGTTCTTCAACTCAAGAAGGGGCCAATGTCAAAACAATAAAAATACAAAAGTGCAAAGTCTATTCTGTTGGGAAAAAGCAGTCCCAAATATTCTGAGTTTAATTTTGATTTACACAAAGATGGGAGTTTTTTTAAGTAAAACATATCATTATTAGTTATGAAAGGAGAGAAATATGATCCTACGTTATGATCTCACATGTTAAACAATGATCATGCCACTAATTACACAGATTATTAAATAATTTTTTTTAGTTTAGTTCACATTCCCAAGACCTTATTTCCTTATACATGAGCCACTTATTGTATTACATATTGTATTACATCAGTCATGTTTCCTTGGGAATGTACATTTGACTGTTAATGAAGAGGAGGGAATTACCCAGAATTCAAAGATGAATCTATCTACACGTTAAGGGGATTCTCTAAGTTCAACTTTACAAAAAGATCAAAATTCTGGGTTATTTCCTTCTCTTCTATTCACCCTTGGTATACGCAGCTAACGAAAATTGACCGGTACGGGTCAAAAGCTGGACCGGTACGGGTTAACGGTTTTATTTGAATTTAAAATAGCCATAACTTGCTCAATATTGACTTCCTCGTGTCTAATTTGAAATATATGATGCCTCTCGATGCTTTTAAGTACCCCAATTTTTTACAGATTTTTAAACGGACCAAAAGTCTCTAAATGCGCATTTATGCTCTTTTCTCTCGAGAACGACTGTCTCATTTTCACGATAACTTTTATTTAGTACTTCTAACATATAAGATCTATTTTTCCCCATCAAAATTGGGGTACTTAAAAGCAGCGGGAGGCATCATATATTTCAAATTAGACACGAGGAAGTCAATATTGAGCAAGTTATGGCTGTTTTAAATTCAAATAAAACCGTTAACCCGTACCGGTCCAGCTTTTGACCCGTACCGGTCAATTTTCGTTAGCTGCGTATACCAAGGGTGCTATTGGTGTGTTCATAACATAAATGGTGCTAGTTGCCAGGTGAAATAAGGGATAACATTAACATAAGCAAAGTCTGATATTTTCAGTGTGTATAGGAAAATAACATGGCGACTTGAAGTCACATCTTTGCAGGTCAATATATTTGATAGGCATATGACAAACCTTTGGAGAACCATGCTTCAACTGGCATGCATCAGTTAACATAATGAATGAGGATGAACAAAAAGGAAACTCACAAAAAACAGCTGGGGATTCTATATTTTTTTTATATCCAATCAAACCTCATTGCATTTGCAGTGTATAAGACTTAATTTTAGATCCCCCAGTTCGTTATAAACAGTGTGTTTCCTGTGTGGTCACTTTTTAGTCTCCCATTCATAAGGGTAGTACAGTGTACAAGCTTGTTATTGGTTAATCCCACTAAGGATTATATTGCAATGGTTTTTGAACAAGCTTTGTTGTTCAAAAATAGGTTAATTTCTGAATAAAATGATAAAATAAATAAGACATAAAAATAGAAAAGTTAAAGCAGAATTCCTATTAATGAGTTAAACATTAAAAGCAAAACTAAAAATAAAATATTATTTTGTGTTAAACAGACAGATTGTCATGTGTCAATAGATGGCAGTGCCAAACAATACTGTTTAAACCTCAGCTATATTTGCTCTACAGCGGGTTTACGGCCCGGGGGTTCACTCTAAATAATTTGGGTAGGTATGTGCAGCACAGGCAATTGTGGCTTAGAGCATAAAACATGGAACTTGGCCAATCTGAGAGGAAAAAACGGACAACTTTTTAAATCAAAAAATCAGTTTTTCTACAACAAATTGTAATAAATCGGTTAAATCAGTTGGCTAGGTCTGGGACAAATCACCCAAATAGTGGATTTTGTAGTTGATATACCAATATTTCAGGAAGTTTACTCCCTTTTATAAGTCTGAGAGGAATCTTGACATGGAAAAAATGCTCAAAAAGGGGGTCTTTGGCGTGGCTCATAGGTATTAAGAGGTATATTAGTGTGACACCCCTGGGGTGTACGGTAGCCATAGCTTCACAAAATCAATATAGAATATCTGCATCGTACTGCGCATCCCTTTATTTCATGCTGCATGTTTCTCTCAATTTTGGGAAGCTATGACTGCTATACTGTTGCTATAGATCAAATGTGACTGAGGCATTACTCTGACTCTAATGCCAACTTCTAAAGCATGCTTAGGAGTAAAAAAATATTTGCAAAACACCAAACCCATTGACACAGACGCTAGACAAAAGAGGCTAGACAATAAGACAAATAGACATGCTTCCATGTTTTTCTATTAACATTTCATTCTCAATAATGTACAGTGAAACCTGTTAAGTGAAACTCTTTTCAGAGTCTCAAGACCAATTGACATAATGTTAAATGAACCTCTATGAGTGGGACACCTCTAAGTGAAACCCATTTTAGAGATATCAAATGTGTTCCAGTAAGACAGGTTTTACTATATGAATAATTCATGAATGAAATCCTAGCATTCCTGAACAATTTCACTCATTTGGTCAGTAAATTCAGACAAGAATAATATTTTACAACTAAGAAGACAAGTTTCTATGCAAATCAGTTTTGATTTCACTAAATTAATCCCCAATGTTGATGTCTGATCTCTTAAACTAACTGACTAAATGAGTAAAAAGGTCTCGCTCCATTGAGTTCATGCCTGTTTACAACTATTATTATTACACTCACATACTCCATTACAACATATTAGTTTTCCATAGAACAACACATAAACTGATGATAACAATATACCGAATCTATGATTTCAAATATTCCGTGGGCTGCACCTCGACCAGTGGCCAACGCTTCGAGATTCGGGAAGGCATGTCCTAAAGAAAATGCTCCAATGAGCACAGCAAAAAATACCTGAAAAATTCAACTAAATATTGAGCATAGCAATCGGGGAAGGCTTAACAAAACATAGACGAGGCTTTGATAATGTACTCTAGTGGATTTTAGAAAGAAACTTTTGATGCAGTTGTTTTTGGGAATCAAAAAACATCAAAGTATCTAAAAGTTTCTAAAGTATGAATAATTATTCAGTTTTCATAATAAAGACTCCTCAGTTGAGTAATAATACAATTTGTGCCTGCCATGCCACTTCTAAAATCATCAATTTCTCAAACATTGCCTTTTCAAGCGAGGATCTTTGTCTTGTCGATGACATAAGAGACAAGATATTCAAGAGCATTTGTTAGTACATTATCAGAACCAGTCTTTTAACTAAAAATAGCGCTGAATCTTACCCTGTCAATAATTTCAAAGATAGTATGGGCGGCTCCACGAGCAGTCGCCAAATTTTGTAAATTTGGGGCGGCGTTACCAATAGAAAACGCACCAATAATGACAGAAAAAAATACCTGGAAATATCATCTTTATTATGCAACAAACACATTGTTTTTTAAACTTCAAATTAATTAATTTATCACATTCAAAAACACTGCCAAGATAATGATAAATCAAAAAAAGGTTCTATAAGACAATTCAAGGCACTTAAGAGAGATGAAAACATTTTATATTAGCACAATCTCTGATAGATGAAAAATCGGTCAATTTAATGACATAAACTACAGGTATACAAACATGTTTATGCTATCATATCAATATGTGCAACCATATAACATTCATATATGTTATATTTGCAATTCAGTTGTACTCACCACCAAGATGGTTCCAGCTGTGTAGTTGTCAGGCTCATCAAGGGTCAGCTTTGACCCATACCAGAATCCAAGGGCATAAGCTGCGAATACAACAAACCATGTGAAGCCCATACCCAGACCCGTTGTAAGCCCTTTTTTGATGCCTGTGTCCCGAGCATCTGTCAGGTTTCTGCTGTATCTAAAATGAAAACAATGGTACTATAACACACATTCAAATATAAACTCTAAAATTCAACTATTTTTAGTTTCAAAAGAAAGTTTATATGATACACTCGTATCATAGATTTTGAGACAAGTTTTTTGTCAAGTTTTAACATTTGCAGAAGTCTTATGCTACAATCTTAATTTCCAGTTGTTATTTAAAGAATAAATGTATATATAAACAAGGTATTCGCATGCAAAATGTCACCACCTGCCATTTGTTACATATGCTAAATGCCAAACGTCAGACACCAACCACCACCACAAAAAATGGAGACCATGACAATATGTCACCACTTTTGATGGTAACATAACAAGGTATTTACTGAAAGCCATAACATAAAAATAATATTGCTGAACACATACCTTACACTTTCCTTTTGTTCCCCTCCAAAGGCCATCACAGTGCGTATAGAGCCAAGCACTTCCTCAGCCACAGAACCTGCTCTGGCATATGCCTTCAGTTCTTTACTTGTGAAATCTGCAGCTAGCTTGGACATTATTGTAGCTCCAACGACTAGTAATGGACTGATAGCTAAAATGACCAGTGTTAATTTCCAGCCATAGACAAAACCAATGGTGAATCCTGTGATGAAACCACAAAACCATTGGACAAATGCTCCAAGCTTGTCACCAATTCCATCGTGAACTTTGTTAATGTCACTGAAAGCAAAAATAAAATTCTTCGTAACATTGTGAAAATGTGAATAATGTCAATATTCAAGGGGAATGGATTTAGAAGGGATGGAAATGAGGTGAGTTAGTTTTAAAAAAAAATAATTTCACAATTCCAATAGCACTGACTTTTTTCAGGATAATACTTATTTAAGATTGTTGAGATCTTTTATAAAAGGGTACATCAAAATTGTAGTCATTTGAGTTATGAGTTGTTGGAATCATATCAATGTGGAATGTCAATTCAGGGTACATAATACTTACTCGGATAAGCGAGTGTTAAGCTCCCCTACTTCGTGGGTATCAAACCAACCGATTTCCTGGCGTAAAATTGAGCGGAAAAACTTCACTCTGATTCGTTGTGTTTGTCTCTCTGACGACATCATCCACATGGAGACTTGCAAGTAGGCAGCAACAAGGATGGCACAGCCAATAACTGAAAGAGGAGAAATGTTAATGTTTTCAATAAGAGCTAAAGGAATGCATGTAATGAACACTCCATGACTGATCCAAAATGCAAGAAGGCAAATGATGTGAACAAAATCACATAACTAATTAGGTTGTAAATTTTTTTCTGGAATGGCAATGACAAGATCTCTTAAAAACTTCAAAGATGGCTGCCCAAAAATTGATCAGCTGTAGAATTTGGTAATGCTCCAATATATTCATATATATGTACAGAGAAGAAAATTTGACAAGGTTATCCAGGAATTGTGAGGACACCTTCATGATTACACTCAATTTACATTCATGAGGACAACATCAGGATCAGTGGTCAGTGATAATAATGGACATTGTACATAGTTTTAATAACTCACTGATATAATAGATGGCAAAGGTAGTCATCTGCTCCAGAATGTCTCCCGTCATCTTGGCTGCAGCATCATCAAATGGCTTATCCCCTATTATAGGCCTGAAATAGAGAAGAGTGTTAATGATAGGCCTCAAATACAAATGAGTGCTAAATATAGGCCTGAAATACACAAACAACATGTAAGTGTCAATTACAGAAAGTACAACCAGATAACAATAGCATGGTCATTATTTCAATTTATTTTTGGGTCATTTCATACCTTATTAAACCTCTTAAAAAGTCCATTGGCCACATGTATTAATTTTTATATTCAAAATATTTACACATTTGTGCATCCTTTGTGCAGGATTTCAAGATGAAGACCATGGAAGCATATATTTTCTCTTAAACCAATTGAATGTCATATCTTAATTCTGGCCAGGTATTCGCAATACATCCACTAGGTGCTATTCACCATTTAACCCAACTTGCTCAAAATAAGTGTGACATTGATAATGCCTCAGTCACATTTGATCTACGGCAACTGTACAGTGGCTGGAAATATGCAGCATAAAATATAGTGATAAGCAGAAAACTCTACATAGATTATAAGAAGTATCCCCATGGTATTCCTATGGTGATAACAAAACATACCTTAATAAGTTTGGATCATTGCGTACCATATCAGCTGTCAGGTTATTTGCTGCGAGAGCACCCGAATCTGTTAGATTTGTAATGAGGGCGTTTAATGTATTCTGATCACGGGCATTGCCAACAAATGCATCAATCATATTCCCAAATACAACGATCATAAGTGGCATCCCTACACCATGGGCAGCTGCGGCTATTGTTCCTGTTATCATACAAGTTATATCAAGGCAGTCAGCGTAGCGGAACTGGAAAGAAAATGGGAAATTATATTTTTTGTTGAAAATGCATACTCCATTTTGATTTTAATAACTTGGTAACTTGTTGAAAATGGACTGATAGGCTGATTTCTATTTGTCATTCTGTCATCAAGTCTATGATTTAAGCCATTGGTTTTATCATAGGATTACCACAAAACTTCATGAATATTCCTTAATATCAAAATGCTGATGATATATTCTTTTAGGCCACATTTTTATTTTTATTTTTTATTTATTTACTCTAATTATCATATACAGGGTGTCAAATAAGTCCTGTCCCCCCTGCTACAGCTAAAACCTTAACAGAAGGTACCTAGTGTGATATACCATTGGAAAGATCATCCAAAGTTATGTTAACTCACCAACTCTCAAGTATTTTGGATGAAATTTACCTATATTATATTTGGATAGGGGACCAAAATATAACTAAATATGTTTATGGCGATGAATTTAATTGGACAACTTGGAAAAGGTCATTCTCATCTTTAAAGGTCTTACCGCGCTGAATAGCATTCCATTCTCCATATAAGTGAAAAATTAGATATTGCATGATAAGAAGAGTATGGTGCATGGTCTTAGACCTCAAGACCTAGCTCCTCTATAGCTGCAGTGGTCTTAAGGACCTAACCCAGGCCAATACGTATAGTTGCTAATTTTTACACAAATTGCATTCATTTTGGAGTTATTGGGTCCTACATCATACCTACTTATTAACACTGACCTTGATTGCCTTATACAATTCTGTTAATTTTTAGTGGAGTGTTTTCAATGGTGATATATTTACATGAAAATTTATGTTCTACATGTCATATAATAGTAATATTAAGTTCAATTGTGATGTTCAAGTGCTTCAAAGATCAAGTTCACTGTACTTATATACTGACTCATTGTCCATGAATAAACATTATGTAGACTAGTGCACTAATTAAGTACATATGGTTTAAAACCCACCTCTCTCCCAACATAACCCAATTTAACAAGGTATTAAAATGCAAAATGTCACCACCTGCCATTTGTTACAGAAACCATATGCTGAACACCAACTGTCGAATGCCGATCACCATCCACAAAAAGTTGAATATGTCACCACTTGTGGTAGTAACATGAAATGCTGATTTGATTGATATTTGGATTTTCTAAAAAATCATCATATGCAAATATAATTGTTATTTACATCTAATCAAGTACAAGTTAAATTTCTCAAATTGTTAATATACAGATATATGACACAATTTCTTAGTCTTGGATGTTACTCACTATTTGTCTAAAGCCGACCATTGGTTTTTCCTCCTCCTTTTTCTCGTTGTCTTTGTCATCATCTTTCCCATTTTTAACCTTAACTGCAGTTTCAGCTGAGTTTGATGCAGCCCCATTCTGTTTCTTTGTATCTGTAAGACAATATGATAAAACAGGTTATTTTTGATATTTAAAGGCCCAATGTAGAGTTTTAAAATATGTTTTTATCATTTTTATCATTCATTTACTATTTTTCATAACTTAAAAAGTGATTTTAGAGATTTTTGAAAACAAATATTTTTGGGAAAAAATTGTTTCTCAATTATTCAAATTTTAAGTCTATATAAGGAGAGGGTTAAAATTGCTATAAATCAAACATCCAAGTACAACTCTAATCTGATTACTTTAGAATGTAATGCTTTGAGCTGATCCATAATGTTTATGCCAAAAATGAAAACAATATACATTATAGGAAAAATACTACATTTTTCCCCATTCCTATCTTACATATATAAATAAGTCATCACCTGTATATCCATCTATCTGATTATCATATAATCGACCATCCCCTGTATCAACCTTATTCATAATTTCCAAATAATCCAAATATTCAATGTTATTCTTACTGAACTTAATTAAAGATTCAAAGTATGTAACTATATCTTGACTGTATCTTATAGCAATGGTGCAATGCGTGCCTATATATTTGATAATTTTTATCAAGCTGTACTTGAAAATAATTTCATCATTAATGATTTACCCAGCCCGAATCATTAATATATAAATAAAATGACAAACTAGAAAATAAATATTAGTACACTACCCTCCAAAAATTTGGAAATAATAGTCATTTATCAAAGCCGGTGTACATTTTAGTGTCATTTAAAAAAAATCATCTTTGTCATTTTCTCGATTAATATGATTACATGAGTTGTACAAACTTGATCTACTTTACGACTGTTTTTATAATGGGTAACCGCCAATTTGGTCAGAAACTAAATCTGTGTATTTCGAGCTAAAATAGTGGATGTTTACAAATACCTCTGGATTTTAAAATTTCTGAACCTGTTGAAATCACTGAATTCTAAAGTTGTTGTGTTTATTGCAACATTTCACATATGTTTGCACTTGAATTAATGTATAGAATAGTTTAAGTATGATTTATTTTGTGTTAAAACATTTTTGATTTTTTTAATCAGATGATTAAGATGGCCTTTTGAACTGGAAGAAATTTCAGATATGAGTTTGCATTGGATTTTGCAATTTTTTACTCAATTTACCATTCAGCGTAAACAATATATTGGAGGTCTTTGCTTACAAATTTTAAAATGATGAAATGACATGGGGATTTCACAACATGAATACACTGGAGTCATCCATGTGTAAATGACTAGAGGATAGGCTTGTAAGCCCTTCTCATCCTTCTGGAGGTGAAGAACATTACCCTCTCTTTTGGGAAGCAAAGTTGAACAAATGCAAAGGGTAGAAGTATATAGGATGGGGGTCCAATTAGTAGGAGGGAAGAAGCAATTAGTAGCTAAGACCCTGCTATCAGCAGAGTCAGTTAAGAAGGTTGAAACTTGAAATAATGTTTCTAACTTCATTAAACTGCTTTGTGGATTTGTTCTCATGGCATATATCCATGCAAGAAATGAAAAAAAAATCAGGGGAAACATCATTTCTATTTTTAGAAGAATGAGCATCCTGTGCAAGTGAGTCAATGGAATGAAGAAATCCTGACCTTTAACCGCAATAACCACTCTCTCATATAAAGCCTTTTTCATTTATGAGTGTACTTTTATTTTATGAGCACTGTGTTTTTCTTTCTCAGATGTATCCTTATATATTCACCTTTTATGAATGAAATTGTGAAATATTTTGTTTGATGCGTACAAATAAAAATCCTATAAAAAACAAATGCACTTCTATTAAATAATTTATAGTTTATGGTGTTTACTTCCTCAGCCTTTACTTGCAATTTCATTTCACTTCTTGCTTTTTCTCTCTATGAATCACATAAACTGTATATTTTTCCTACTTTCTATATAATTTAGAGTATGGATTCAATTCCTGATAATTTTATTCCTCACTAATTCCACTCTTTTCCACTCTATTTCACTTTTAAAACATGACTACAATGACGTTTTTTCTACAGATGACCTTCACCCAGTTCTAGGAAAAGTAGTTTAAACTCTATATTATTGTACAGAAAATTGCAAGAAAACATTTTTAAACATTTCATTTTATTCTGAACTTGTTTTCATTCACCAAATTCTTTACAAGAGTGAAATAAATGAGATATAGGTGACATTCAGAGACAATAATGTGGAAAACGTGTCCTTGTGAATGCCTGTCTAGAGCTTCCTCTGACTTTTAAATAGTCCTTCAAGTAAATACTTGCAAGCCCCTCTCCTGTAAACAACTTGATAGTGAACACTTTTAAATAAACACCTCTATTGTAACACACCCTAGTACTAATACCTCCCTAGAGAGTGAAGATTACTCTCTTCAGAGAGTACTCTTTTAAGTGAACACCTCTCTCTAAGTAGTGAAGACCTTAAGATAATCTTTTCTAGTTAACATATATCATTAAGTACAAGTATCTAACAGCACACAAGGCCACATCACAAAATACAAGATATATTATTCCAAGTTAGTATTTTATCATCCATAAACAACGAGAACAATTTCCTTATTAATCATCTTTCCAGATATAAACAGGTATCCATAAACAAAAATAATCAAAACCCCTAAAAACCATAACAATAATTACAAATGTAATACCATGGGCTTTCAATTAGAGTCTAGTTGAACAGACACTACACCTAAGTGCATAAATATCATTGTATTACATGGCAATAAATCATCATTTTGGCCATATTTCCTAAGATAAGAGATTTAAAAGGGACTGTATCAGCAAAGATAACACTTCCATAACAAATGTAAATCGATTGAGAGGCAAAGTAACCTATGAGAATTAATCAATAATGACTACTGAAAGTTTGATGATCATATAAACTCAATGTTTACCTAATATGGCAATATAGAGCTACAGTAAAACCTGTCTACTCCACATTAATGCTTGTTTGACCAAACACATGTGAGATTAAAAAGATTGTTAGATTAAAAAGTGGATCTGGTGAAAATGTATTCAGTTAGAAGTATTCAGATTATAGAGGTGTTCAGATATACATGTTTCACTGCATCCTACAATGGCTGTATCTTACAGTATGTCCAGGTATTTTCTTTTTTATCATATATACTTCATTGAAGTAAAGTCAATACATTGTCGACCACCAATCACTATGTCAGCATTGAACATTATAGGTTGGCCATCATTTGGTGCCAAGTAAAAGTGGTCAAAAATAAAGGTACTTTTTATGAGTGCTCAACTATATTTTCATTATACACATTTATCATCTTTTCTAAAATTGAAATAAAATTGGTGATTTCTTTAAATTCACAATACATCTATTTACTTCAACCAAATTCTTGTTGATTTCACTCTTCTCCTCTCTGTTTATATTCAAAACATGACCTTGACCTGTCCATGACAACATCTCATGATCTCTCTTGTGATTTGGGGCCACTTTGGGTCAACATGTCAAAAAGACAATCATGGATCTTAAACAAATAAGTAAATAGGGAAATATCCCTGAAATAAAATGAGAGTATTACCTTATATGGACATGGATTGGACACATAGTTTTTATCATGTATTAATCAGTTAAAAAATACTTTGGTCTAATTTAGAAAAAATTGTACATCAGCAAATCCAATGTACTTCAATCCAATAACTTGGGTTAAAGGTAATTCATGTTTGATCAATGACTGAACTTAAACTTGAATAAGTCACAGAGAGACTAATCCAAGTTGCTTAGAAAGATTATAACGCGACCATTGAATCAATAAATACCTGCACGTATTACAAAAGATATGGACGGCTTTCAACTTTGCTTTCGTAACTGAACATTTTATGAAATACACATGTATTTCTTCAAATCCATGATTATTACTATCAATGTCCTTCTTATAGAAATAAAATTGACAAAATAGAAACAAAACCAAGTCCAAAAAATTCTCACCAATTTTATTGCATGGTGTATCCATTTATTAATAGATATCAACACACTTCGCTTTGCACCATGTTTGCTTGAAAAATAACAAAAGACCACCTGTATATATAACTTAAAAAGTTGCTTTAATTTGCAACGATGACAGTATATAAATGTCAATATGCCATCATTGATGTGCTGACCATTGCGCTATAAATGGCAAACAATTATCTGAACCATTTTTTGCAAACTTCAATATTTGATGGTTATACTGTATTATGGAGGGAAGGAGGCCTGATTTATTTCTGATTTGTGTTGATAAACATTGAGTCAAATTCTTATACCTCATGAAACATGTGATTTTATCCATAATATCGCATATTTTCGGTAATTTTATACTCATTATACCCCCTCATATATACACTGTTATATATTACATCCTATGAATTTATATACTTCATCTCAGCTGATCCCCTTCACCATTAAGTAATTTGCTAAGTAAAATATCTGACATTTTGCACAATCATTATTTATAGAATATTGATATATCTTGTATTACACAGTGCAATTAACAGACAGCATCAATATCAGTATGTAGCTAACACCACCTGATTCTTTCAGAAGAGCATATCTGATATTTATGCTTAGTCATTGTCTACAGTACAGAATACACATTGATAAAGGGTCAGTATTAATAGTATATAAGCATATGAAACCTGCACGCTTTTGAGTAAAGCACACTATCATTAAAAGTAAATTTGTACATTTCTTGGGCAGACGATTAATTTCAATCGAATCTTTATTCAATATCACAAAATATAGAATAGATTGAAGGAGTACTTTGAACTAGGGTTAGACAAATTATTATCCCTTAAAAAATTTGATTTTGTTTCCTTAAAAGAGAGGTTCATCTAAAGTAGTAATCATTAGGACTAGCCTCTGGACCCAAATGTACTAACATATTTTTACCTAGTATATGGTGATTATGACTATATCAATCATTGTTGTTATAACTACATAAATGGGAAAAAAGGTCTAAGGTCCATCACTTCCTAACAAATGGTTTAAACCAATAGGAAGAATTAATATGCAATAATAATGAAGCAATTAGTTGAACAAACTCCATCCCTTATAGAGTTATCTCCCAGCACAAGGAATATCTATATCATTAGATACAAAACATTCAGCCCTCAACAACTCCAGGATAATGGTAATATCCTGACCCTCATATAGGAAAACCCTTATATTCGATATCAACAAACTAACTCACCTATTTCAGATGGGGTTACTGGTTTGACTGAATCATAATCCGGCGGAGGATCCGTCGGAAACTTTTGTGTCCTATTACTTTCCTCCGTCATTTTTGGAGTATCTAAAAAAGAAAATATATCAATTTAAGATCTTTAATAAGCAAATTGGAATAAACAGAGTACTTATTTCATTGATATGCCATCAAAACCTGCTCTTTCAAATTCCCAACTGGGTGCATAATTTTACAGGGTGCCCATTTCAACAGGATGCTCATAGTACATATCTTATTTATACACAATCGCTGCCTAATTCTTGATCACTCTACAGATTAATCAGAATATCACGTATACAGGTTTTCCCATCTGGTTTATCCGTTGTTTGTGAAAGATCAAGAAAAGGGGGGTGCAGTTATGCTGTGGTCAGATTTGCTCCGATTTTCAGTTCTGGCACCCAGCTGATGAGTATTGTTCAAAATTGCATTCAGTTTTGAACAAAATACTCAATGACAAGGCGCCGGTGTTGAAGATGCGAGAAAATGTGACCATAGCATTATTGGGATGAGGTTTTCCTGTAAAAATTACTCCCTTGTGAGTTTCCAAGATATGTCATTCTGCATACTTCATAATGTCATGTACATGAAATATCAATCAGAATGCTATTAATATTACATGTTATTGTATAAATTAATATATGAATATCCTCACATTTTCCTGAATGCCTTAATTTCATTGCAACAACCAAAATATTCTGAACAACCTAAATCAAATATTCTCTGTTATAAATTAAGAGTTCCTTTGTACAAGTAACTTATTGATATCAATTCTAATATCACAGATAAGTTTCACATCATATGATTCATTTCATGGCGCATCTCAGTTTCATGTGTTATTCAAATTACAAATCTGATCAAATATTAACAGGACTGATTCTGGTGAAATATTCATAATCATGTGTTCTAGCTACCCCTATGTAATAATCATATCATATATTTCTACATTTATTTTATGTTATTATTTTGATCATGTCATTTCTCTATAATTACATCTAATGGTAAAGCAAATAAAAAAACAATAGGCAAAATTATTGGAAACCATAATCTTAACATAGAAAACAACAACAGGCAAAATTATTGGAAATCATAATCTTAACATTATGAATTTGAAAATTCCTGTTAAAAATCTGTTGCATGTTGCTAATGGAACACCTGTCCCATTCCCCTATAGAGGTATCATATTTATCATTTATTTACATGCTATAATAAAATACAAAATCAGCTCTACTGCCAATATACTTTTTATTTTATCTGACATTCCAGCCAGTGATCTTAATAACAAGACCTGATATACTATATACTTAAACACATAGATCATTTCAACATGTGAAGTGATTTTTATTAAACCAGCATACCTGTAGATGTCATAAATTATACCTGCCAGCTCCAGTATATAAATATCCAATATAATAAAATCCTAGTTATGTGATTCTGCAAATTGCTGATTTTTATCAAATTGTGTTTGTGTCAAGTATGAGTACTTATGTATTATATACTTTCAATATAAAATATACGGCTTTTAACCCTGTACTGGAATTTACCTGCTTATGTTTAATAGCTGAATGAAAATATTGGTTGATTTATATATGTGCTACCTTTATATTCACCGTTGAAAGAAATACCTATATTGTTAAGGCAAATGTGTATGTGCTGTGTGCGGATCAATTATTAAATGGCTCAGTGAAAATATCAGGCCTACTGAGGACATCATTGAGGCTGATATTATTGTGACTTTTAGTAGCAGGTAAACCAATCAAATTTAAAGGGACACTATAAAACACAGTGGGAAAGGTCGATCTTGAAAACTGCGCCCCCTTCATGATTTTTCCGAAGTGTCTTACAAATGGCAGATTAAAGGGGGTCTGATAAACCAGAATGGGCTATGTCAACGTTCACCTCAAACATTTCTTTCACTTAATAACTAACCAATTGCCTTTGTGGAGTTATAGTCAAAATGGTCTGAGTGTTCTGACCATGTTCTCAATCAGATAACTAGATTATTATCTGGACGTGTGTAATCATATAATTATATCAATATACAGTAAAACCTATAAAGCAGAACACCTATTTGAAATAAAACATATTTCCAATTAAGCCTTATTACCAACTTTAACTAGAAAACAGCAAGAGTAGCGAATCCCACAGAACAAAACACATTTTATGAAATACCTCATCATATTATATTAGAGTATATAGACATTACATGATAGAAATAAAATTTGCACCAAACAGTAGAACCCACAATCCTTGCCTAATAACAATATGTCACCACTTCTGGTGGTCACATAATGCAGGGGTCTTTTTTTCTCAAGTGGGTGCAACTCATTTTCACAATTCAGACCAAAATTAGTCAAGATATGTCCATTTTTATGATTTTTCTCATTTTCAAGTGGGTGCAAATGAATTTCCAGGTGGGTGCAAGCCTATTTTCAAAATCTCAGGTAGGTGCTGCGCCAACTTGCTAAATGTTGGGGAGATCACTATAACAAATCCTAATAGACAAAGTTCAAGGACATCAAGCATCTAAATGGGTCCAATATTCAAAAACAAAATATCACAATGGAACAGTACATTTGGCAGGTCTTGAATTCCTAACTTTGTGTAACAAGATACAACAATGTGCAACTCTGGTTCAAAATTAAGTAATAAGTAACACTTTGGTCAACTTCAATGCAAACATTCAATTATGTTTGTCCCTCTTCTCATCCTGTTAAATCAGTATACTATAGTATTTCTTCAGTCATGAAATACCTTGATGGATCAAGACGATTCTCTGTCTCAAATGCAATTTTGTTATCAAAGAAATGTGAAGTGGAATAAGTATACCTACTGTCATAATCTGGTCTAGGCTCTGGAAAGTAACGACTCGGAACATTCGAGTTGATTTGTTCATCTCTTGAACTTGACATTCCCCTAAGATTTTGCCTTGACCCCCCTGGGTTTGGAAACCCGTCACTTCTTTGGGATGTAACTGATGCTCTATGACCGTTATTTTCTCCAGGAAATTTCCTTTGTCCAGCATAATTAAGATGTGCTCCATTTGGTATCACACCAGAATTACTGCCAGAAAATTGTCGATCGACAGGAAATGCCCATCCCTGAAGGTGATGACCCCCAGGATTATCCCTGGGACTAATGCCATCCCCAGGGGCATTGTCTGATCCTCTGGGGCTACCCGCCACTGGGGATGAGCTAGTAAGATTATGTCTGTTTGTCAATTGATTATATCCATGGGGGTATATGGCTGCTGGGGAGACCTCCTGACTGGAAAGGGTTGACACTTTATGTTTCAACATGCTCCACCCTGAGAGTAATAGCCAGTGCACTAGCCTCTCATTAAGTCTCGATTTTCTTGTGTCCAATCAATCAGAGAGCACACATAACTGTTTTTGAGTGGCAACAGGCTCTGATTAACTTATTTGTGTTGAGGCTCATGCATATGTATGATAAGTATGAGAAAATACTGATTATTCTTCTAAAAGGTTGCTAGTTGAACCCTTATAATAAGAGTCTAATGAATATACTGTCATTTGACAACACCTAGAACTATTATTTTTGAATAAAAGGTACAAATACTGTAACAACATTTTACAACTTGAGGATTTCAGCGATATTTTAATAAAGGAAAAGTGAGGTTATAATTCACATGTAGTGAAAGATTGAAAAGGGAAAATCGCTGGAAAGATATCAATTAAATAGAAAAAAGGCATAAGCAAAAGCCAAAACATCAATACCTGTAAATATGGTTACAAAAGTGTAACAAGTATAAACTGTTAATGTTGTTTAATAGTCATAAAAATGAAAGATATAACAACATGGTGGTAACATGAAAAATGTGTAATTAGAACTGTAAGTAAAACTTACCTAGGACTTCATACGGACCCACTTTTGAATGCACCATTTTAAGACTAATTTCCAAGAATTTTTGAATTTAATTGTAAGATATATTATTTCTTTGACTGCTCCTGAGCGTATAAATCCTACACAATGAACTTCACTATCTGGTCAAAGATATCTATGAATTTAGGTAAGCAGTTAATTGTCAGGTCTGTCTCCAAGGTTCTGATAAATAAACAGGCACTAATCCCTGATAAAATTAGACCCATTAAGAAGCAGACTTTGACCAATATGGTGACCCATGTTGAATCCAAAATTTCAATCTAAATGGCAGGTAAAAACTTCCATTTTGTACTCTTGATATTTATATCTGCTTCATATGAACCTAACTCAACAATGAACATTATTACATGCAGACTGTTTGCTTATATGAAAGACTGGTCATTTAACCCATGGTAAAGATCTGCTATGGGGATTAATTAAATATTGACCAAATGTCTCACTATTAAATACGTTCCAAAGGTTCTGTTATTGATTGCTAAGGAAACTTTTGGAAAGTAAATATCATTTGATCTGTGAGTGACTTTGCACTTTCAGTTCCAAAATTTCACCTTACAAGGGGCAGTATTTGAATATACAAACATTCATAAACATGAACAATATAAAAAAATCTTTATAACCTAAAACACTGCACATGAAAAATTAGCAGTCTTACAGTTAGAAAGGACAGTAAAAAGTGAGATAAAAAGCAAGCTACAAGAGTTCAGATAAGAAAATAACTGGCCAATGATCACAAAAATTAATTGTTACCATAGAGATTTTTCCTTTTCAGTATTTGAACAATTTCTGTGACTGATCTTAATTTGGCTCATTCTTATTTGGCATTTTAGTGAAATTCAACCTATGCAAATTTTCTTTTAAAAATGACAGTAGAATTTTCTGGTGTAGTAGAATTTTTTCTTCTTTATCAATCTATATGATTCAAGTATTATAATCTAAGCCAGCATTCATAAGCTGATCTATATTTTATTGATAACAATGTGCATATTTCAGATTTTGGCTAAAAACAAACTATTTTATAAATATCATACCATATTTATACTAGCTCAGTGGAGTAACCAGGATTTTGATAGCAGGTACGCGAGGCCGAAGGCCGAGCAAAATTATATATTACGCATGCCCCCAGAAATTTTTTGAATTTAGACCTTAAATGGTGCGTTCTGAGCTACATC